ACTCTTTTACCTCTCTTGAGCTATGTGTTGAGAGATAGTTCGAAAATATCAGTGGAAAGATTTAGTATAATTACAATATCGACATTACAAATTGTGCGACTTTGCTCTTTCTTGACAAGTTGATACCAATATTCGATAATTAATTATGCGTCAACAGAATGCATTAATAAATTGAATTTGCACTCTAAAGATACAATCTGCATGAATTCTCGGAGTTCCAAGGAAAGATGAGCACGAATCGTAACCGTCGAATTGCAAAATTTCGCATTAGCCAATGATAATGACAATAAATTTTAAACGTTAAAATAATAATAGGATCATACTCTCTTATGTAAACTCGCTAATCATTATATGTTAATTTAAACAGCATAATTTTATACACGTGACAAAAACGTAGGGTAAATATGTGAGAGACTTAAAAAGCCGAATAAAATGGAAGGGTTATTTTTTTAATCAAACATCGGAATTTTTCGTTAAAAGCATAATTACACGACAATATGTATCCGTAAAAAAAATGAACTATCAACTTGATAGTGAGGCAATTTGTTATTGAATATGTTCATATTAGAATATCGAAGGTATACACAAGAGGGGTATCGCACTAATCACCGGCCAATGCTGGTGCATGCGACCTTACATGGACACGCGAGATTGAACGGAATGGGGCAATGGCGCGTGAAAAGCTCCAGATAACACGACGATATTTCGAGCGGCATATCGGCAAAGCTCAAAGAGTTAATCGTATGTCCGCGAGGCAGATGACAGAACGGGAGAGGAAAAAAAAAGCGCCGCGAGCCGGCCGCGCTTGTATTTTCGATAATTATTCGACAGTCGATTTGCGTGCGGATGGACTGCGCATTGGGGGGAGGCGGAGGGGAGGTAAACGGGGGATGAACGAGCAGGTTGGCAGAGGAGGAGGAGGAGGAGGAAGAGGGGGGGAGGCAGGGAAGTAGACACGATTGCGGGGTCGCGGGGATGGTTTCCGAGAGTCGCGTTCAACCATCCGGAAGCTATGAATATATTATTTGACGGGCAGTTTCGGTAGACTCCGATCGGATGGAGCATCGATCATGGCTGGCGCATCCCTTTGGGCCATTTTCATGCGTCAGAATGCGACACGCCTGCGATCGAGCGATTGCTGTGAAAATAAAAAATAAAAAAAAAATAAAATAAAAGGGCACAGACAGGCGCTCGCGCGTGAGCGTATCCAAACAACGCGGCCGCTAACCAGCGCGATATTTTTCTCCAACGAAAAAATTCGAATAGCGAAAAAAAGGGAGATGGGCATCGGGCAATAAATCGATTTTCCTTTCGTCGAGAGATAAGAAATTCAATAGATAGCCATAAAAAAAAGTGTACATTTGCAAAACCAAAATTGACGAGAATAATCAAAGACGGATTTAAAATGATAGCTATCTTATATATTTCTTTTCGTTCTCTTTTAATTACTGTTTCTACATTATTGTGATTCAGTAATATATATATATATATATATATATATATATATATATATATATATATCATTGTTGATCGAAATCTTAATTCACAAATAATATATTAATTAATTAAGCGTGCATTATTCAGTTTATAATTACTAGAAGACCATTTCATCAACGAGTACTTTAATCCCTTCTAATTAAATAGTTTGAAATTGCAAGTCGTTAGTTAAACTTAAACAACCTTTACTTCGAGCAATGATAACTGGAATTTTCGCAAAGACAGATTGCCGCTCCGAGAAAGGATGAAGATAACGAGAAGTTAAAATTACAATGGAAAATCCGTTCGACAGAATGTTCTGCTTTCTGTTGCATAGTGTGAAACACGAATTTAAATATTATGAAATGTGACATTCTCTTGCTTTGTAATTGATGCAGACATTTCTGAAATAATTTTTAATAGTCGTTCGGACGAATTTTATAAATCAATTTTACACGCACAAATTTCCTATCTTTTTAAATATTATATATAAAGATATGTTTAATATTTAAAAATAATCTCATCTTCATCCGATTTCTCTAAAAATTTCAAATATGCCATGAAAATTATCATATATTTTTATCGATTCAGCTATTATTACAATTTGCACTTTTTATACAATAAAATAATAACATTTAATTATATATAATAATAATAATAATAATAATATAATAATAATAATAATAATATAATAATAATATATAATAATAATAAAATATCCTAAAAAGATAGATTCCCATAAATGCGAAAATATGGCTAAATTTATTTTAAAAACAGGATAAGGAGAGGGAGAAAGCTAGATTATTTAAAATATATTCAATTTGATTTAACATTCCGAGAATCGACGAAGTTTCCTCGAAATATCGTGCGATTGAAACGCATCCGTGGGCGATAAGCTGTTCATGGAGAAATCGCGATGGGTGGTCTTTCTTCGTAGTAATCGAGTAGAAAACTCAATCGCGATCTGACTTTCGCATGGCTAGTTTTGCTCATTGTTATTGATTCGATTTTCAAAAGATAGTCTCCGAAGAGACGAAGAAAGGAATATTTTCCGATCGATCCTTTTCTACTGCACCGCAGCTGTTGACGTTAATTTTAATCGACTTGCGCGCAGTTTGACCAGATTTATTCGCAGTTTGTTTTCAATCCAATCTGCGATATATATATATATATATATATATATATATATATATTCACATATCAGAATCTTAATTTTTATTTTAATTGTGACATGTCTTTTATAACGTTTCACCTTATCCGAAACTGAATTGTTCATCAATAAATAAATGTATCTTTATCGAAGCCTTGCATCAATTTCCTATTGTGCGAAATTAATTAAATATTTTCGTATAATTGGCGGCCAAAAATGGTACTATTAATCATAAATAATTGCATCAAGTGCGGTTTGGTCAGAAAGAACTCGAAATTTTTGCGAAATTCCATGTACTTGCTCAACACGAAAAGTAACCGCGATCATAAAGAGATCCCACATACGCGTACGAGAGTGGTGGGCGCCACATGATGCAAAATGCACCACGAAAAATTCGGGACCGGGAAGGGGAGGAACGCGAAACTGGAAGATGCAGTCCGACGTAACCTTTGACGCGTCATGGTCGGCGTCATAGTCGGCGGGCGCGCTTTGAAGTCCGCGTATTTTAATGCAACGGCGAACTGTGCATATCGAGAGACTGCTGAATTAATCGCAGGGCACTTCAGCGGGGACGGGGCGGGGAAGAGGGGGAGATGAGAGAGAGAAAGAGAGAGAGAGAGAGAGTGAGAGGGACGAGGAAACCCTAGAGGGAAGGGAGAGAACGAACCGGCCCCGCGCTTTTCTGGGGCACGTGCCCATGGGTATCGGTATTTCGGGGTGCGTTAATACCTCACTATCCAGACGGATAGAGAGAGAACAGAGCGAAACATCCACTCCTGCACATTGTTTGCGGCTTGGAATCAATAAAAGCATAGCTTTAGGCTACGGTGGTCGCCATGGCAACGGGAGACCCATCCGTGCACTATCCCACTCGTCTTCTCTCTCTCTCTCTCTCTCTCCCTCTCTCTTTCTGTCACCCTCTCTGTCTCTTTCTCTCTCTCTCTGTCTCTCTCTCTCTCTCTCTGTCTCTCTCTCTCTCTCTCTCTCTCTTCCTCATCCTCGTCCTTCGCCTCCTTCCTCCCTCCCTGTGTCACCCCCGCATCTCTCTCAACCCCTCGCAGTTTATCTTCCATCCCTCTTCGATCCTCAAACACGCATACCCTCTGTTCTTCTCTCATCTTCTCTTTCTCTCTCTCCTTCTCTCTCTCTCTCTCTCTTTTGCTTTCGCTCTTTATCGCCACATCTGCATGTGTTCTCTTCCTCTTTCTCTCCCTCTCTGTTTCTCTTTTTCTTTCTCTTTCTCTGTCTCACTGACTCCTCAAAAACTCTGTTTCGGTCAACTCGAATTTGCAACCGCGATCGAATTGGTCTCACAATAGAACGCTCTTAAATTCGCATCGTCCCGCGATTTAGTTTTGACAACGATTTTGAGGGACAGATTTGGACCGATGTCCAATGGCTCTCATAACAAACATATACAATGATAGATAATTAATAGAGATTCGTAGGAAAATGGATATTCATCCAGATAGTAAAAAACAGATTGCCAAATATTTGTTGTGAGCTTCGTCAACGAATAAAAATCCGATATATATTATATTATATGTGACGTTAGATTCTAATAGAGTTCTGTTAACGGACTATAACCGCAGATTAATAGCAAAAATCAAAATTGCGAACACAATCTGAACATATAATATGACACTCTTCACATAAAACATGCGTTTATGCAGCGGCATGTAATAACAGTATTAATAAACATTGTAATTATTTGCTATTGTACGGCACAAAATGAATATTGCGGTGTATTTTAAATTCCAAAAATATATTTATTGAATGTCTGTCGCAGGCAGGAATAATACATGATACAAAAGACCGATTTTCTGCATGCAAAACTTTCGTTTTTACCATCCAGAATTAAAAACCCATTAAACTGCAAGTGGTACAAACATAAATATCACCACCTTAAAATCATGACAGTGATATTTCTGTTTGTATTAGAAATTGCAATTAATTATTGATTATAAATACATAAAAAAATTTTCTTAAAAATCTCCCAAGAATTTCTCAACAATTTCTATTCAAATTTTTAGACAAAATTAAAACGTGTTTCATCGATCGTTTGTAAAATAAAATCGAAGAGATAATTCCGACAAAAATTTCTTAAGCTCCGGCAAAATTTCCAGAGAATTGTTTGATTCTTTTAGGCAAAAGAAATTCGTGGAAAACTACGCAGGTTTTTAAAGTTTTTTAAAATAATACATACTCTATAGGAATCGAATACGAATCGAATCCACACGCGCTTATTTGGCAAAAGGAGCGGGATAATCGAATTAGCCGACTTTTCGCATGGATTTGGAGGAAAACGAAACGAGAGCCCGCTCAAAGAGAGCGGTCGTTCGTTCGGAGCAACTCGTTCAACACGCAAACTCCAATGGAAAAACGTCGATAAGCGTCGTCGCGCGTTCTCGCTAACCAAGTCGAGAGCGATAGGGGCGAGAAGGCCACGAACGGGGATCCATAGCGAAGGGGTGGATCGAACGGTCAAAATCGTCGTCGATCAAATCAATCGATCACCACGGGACGTTCAAAACAGGTAAAAAAAAAAAGTGAATTCGTCATTTGCGTTTCGACATTTCGAAACAACAAAGCAGCAGAGTCCGAAATTCCGGTCTAGGGTTATATGACAGTCTAACCTGGCGCTCCATCTATCAAGGGATGATCACCCTCTCGCTTTCGAAATGAGAGATACCCGCCGATAGTCACGGCCGGTGAGCGTCCCGCGGGGATCGCTCAAAATTGCTGTCCAAGAACGCGAAAGTGCTGGCTTTCGCGATCTCATAGAAACAATCGAGCAGTTTTGCATATAATATTACACAGAGCATGCCTGGCTTCATCAGTAACAGATAACTTATCGCGAATGCATACAAACTAAATAACAATAGTCGGTATATTATAATAATGGGGCATATTTCGAATGTCGATTACTGAAAATTATCTTTCAATGTATGTTTTGTTTTAATAAAATATTATTTAAAAATGTATTATATATATTTTCCGTGAGGATAAAATATAGATGCTAAAAAAATATTTATTTAAAATGCACACGCACATCTTACATATACACAACACATACAATAATTAAAATTATTAATTAAAACAACAATTTCACAAATAAAATATTAAAAAGATTTTTATTTTAAATATATTTTATTTTATAGATTTTTATTATCGAAATAATTTTTATTTCAAGTCTTTGAGATTGAATTCAATATTGTCGTAAAGAAAATAATAAGAAGACAAAACAAATATGCATTTATTTCAAAAGTAATCACTGTTTATTTTTAACTTGCAAAGCAAATTGCAATATAAATTTATTTAAAATTAAATAGAAATAGATTTAAGCGAATGTAAATTGCATAAAATAAATAACATTAGTAAAATTCGTAAAAAATATATTCAAATATTTTAGACTGACTGATATTATAAAAGAAATAATTATTTTAATTAATTATTTGAAACCGTCGTGAGAAATGTACAAATTAAATATTTATTTTTTATTTATTAAATTTTCAAGTAGATTTTTAATTAATATATAAATGTGAATTATTATTCGACATTGACTATATAATTTAATGAAAAAATATTAATTTTCATAATTTCGTATTTTTATTTTTTCATATTTTATTTTCCATCTTTTCCATTTTTTTACGATGATTGTAACATATCAAAAATAGAATATTAAGTGATACTTTATATATATATATATATATATATATATATATATATATATATTATATTTACGATAAGCATGTATAATACACTATTGCTGGTTGCACTCAAAGATTTAGTTGCATCAACAATTTAATTACTATCGCATTAATGATCTGTTTTTTAAACTAATCATTTCTATTTGTTTCCAAAAATTCCTCGAAATTTCTTTTATAATCAAGTTTATAACTAAGATACTATTAAGAGACAAAGAATATATAGATATATAGATATCATTATATATGATAAATGAGAGAAATTAAAATCAATCATTTAATTTATATAAATTCATTTCTTTTTCATTGATTTTATACGTGGCTTTGAAAAAGAATCACGGATAAATAAATAAAGAAAACTTACGGGAAAAAATGCAAAATATGTGTATCACGTTCATGTCATCGCGCTAGATCTCGTTAGCACCTACGTGGCCAATCTCCGTCGACGACACGTCGCTCTATGGTCGATCCATTAGTGTCAAATCCGTGAGCTTATCCGTGCACCCGATATACAGCGAAAGATTCTGGTCCCGACGATGCGAAGGAGAATGTCGAGTGGGTGCAGGTCCCCTGTAAGGCGACACAGGTACATATGGGCTCCCCCCATTGAATGGACCAAATGATATAAATTATTTATAGATTTCGACACCGGAGAGAGACGGAGACACAGACGGCCGCGGAGGGTGTTCGAATTGGGGCGCGACGGGACCCCTGGGGGGGTCCTCTCGCGCATCGAAAACCCTTCGGGGATTCCCCCTCTCAGCATATGCATTTTCGCTTCGAGACCACTGTAAGCCTATATAAAATTGATTCCTAAGTACCCCGTATTCGTGTCGGACTCGCGTGTCTTTTAACACCTATGTCAGTATTTGCTCTCTGCGTTCTTGTAAATACACCGTAGACAGTAGCAAAATCAATTTTTCACCCTCAGTCACCCTCAGATATTGTAAACAATAATAGTAAGTAAACAAATATAATAAACCACTCGTTATATAAATAAAACCTGATTTTTTAAATATGTTCTTACAAGTAATAATGTTGTTAATAATAATATAATATAATAATAATAAATAATATAAATATAAATATAGTAATAATATAAAATATAAATTATAATAACAATTTATTATAATAATTAAAATTATTATAATATAAATATAATAATAATATAAAATATGTGAAAAAAAAAGAAAACTAAGTAAAATGTGCATAAATTTCTTTTTATACACGACGTTTATGAGAGTGAACATTAATAAATAAAAAATGTCGCAATATTTTGAAGATCAATCTTTTATATTCCGAGAACTGTCATCGAACATATATATGTCGAGTACATTTGAGTCTGGTCTTGTAACAAATCGGGACGGGCCCACGATCGCGCAGCCCGCCCCCCCGGGGTCCAATCTAAATCAATGGGCTTGTGGGTAATCGCATAATAATTACCGGGACCCCCTCTACCGCCCATCTGTCGCTGATCGACGGGGTGTTCGAACCCTCAGAAGAAGCAGACACTCTACCACGGCGACACACCCGATGAACACGTCCCAGCAGGTCCCATTGTCGATGGGCACCGCTCGGAATGTCGTGAAGCGTCCCTCGTCATTCTTTCTAAACTACATTCGATCGTGTACAAACCGCCGCAAATAAATAAATGCGATTCGTAAAATAAAATATCTTGATTTAACTTAGAAATGCGAATTAAGCTCTCTGGAAGAATGTCATATGTGTTATTGGATTTCAAGAGTTTACATCCAGTATATCTGACATATAATATAAATAGATAGAAATATTACTTTTTTTATATGCGATAATCTATTTCAGATAGCAAAATGGAGGTGATACTTTTAATTACTTTGTGGCTCGGCCTAGCAACTGGTCACTTTCGTGGACCGCATCATCCTAAGAGTAGCATATCCCATCATCATTACACACCGCAAAGTGAAATCAAATTAACGCAAGATTCCGAGCTCCTTCACGATACAACGTAAGTTGAAAAGCAATTAATTTTCTCTAAACAAATTAATAACATTAATAAAATTAATAAATTAATAAAATTAATAACTCTCCTATTTATGTCTATAGAATTATATTTAAAAAAAGTATCGAGTAATCTTAAATAATTTTATTTAAGATTAAAAAAGTTATAATTATCGATTATATTTAAAAATCGACAGGAGAAACTATGTGAAGAATAATCGCGAATTGTAATTTTCATTTTATGATTAAAATGCAAAAAGAATTGCATTAAAATAAAATATTTGTCATTAGAAAGACACACAGTGCGATAAAGAGTGGTTTTTTTGGAAAAGAAATCAAAATAAAAATTCTTAAATTGATGAGTGTGTAGATAGTTTTGAGATAAGTTCATATTTTATTTATTAGAAGTTTTCAAGAGCCAAATATTGTAAAATATGACTCTGGCGTACTTTAGCTACGTAAAAAACAGAGAAAAGTTTCATGAAGAAATAAAATTTCCTCGAAGCAAAATACGAAAATCTCGTCAAATTTCTGCACTGCTAAAGCACAGAATATACATATAGCACAGAATATACATATACTTGGCATATGACATTTATCGTAAATTTTTAAAAGCTAAAAATTGCAAAATTTAACTTTGTGCTGTGTATCTCAGATTGCGTTCATGCTAGTATTAGTACAAGTATAGGTATCATTTTACACAAAAATTTATTTCTTGCTGCTATCAGATAATTCTGCAATCAGAATTTTACATCTTCCGAACGAAAATGTCTAAATTTAGTCTCTCTAATTCGGCTGGTCCTCCTGTCGATTGTTAAGCAAATCGAAAATCCATTAAATTTCCAAGTACTCAAAAAATAGAATCCACTCCATAATTTTAGGCATTTAAAAGAGGACATCGGTCCCATGGCCGATCAACTCGACTTTTCAAAGATGACAGAACAGGAAATAGAATTCTACTACTTTAAGTACGTTTGGGATATCGGGATTTGCCTCATTATACCCAAAAAAATATTGAATTTACCGTTGCTAACAGATTCTTGAATTATAGAATCCATGATATCGACAATAATACAAAATTAGATGGATTAGAAATTCTTCATGCTCTTCAACATACTTTACACGAGGATGGCGAGGAAACGCAATCGGAACAAGACTTGTCTTGGATTGTAGGTATGTTTGAATAAAATTGATATAACATAGCACTAGAAATTATATAAACGCATAATGTATGGGTACATGCGGGTCCTTTTTACAAGTATGCGAAAAAAGCGATTTTTAATCTAACGTAATTATTTAATATATTTACTTTAGATTTAATAGATAAAGTACTGGCAGAGGATGATGTGAACAACGACGGCTATCTAGAATATGTCGAATATGTAATGGGAAGGAAGAGAGATCATGATGCGCAAGAGAAACGAAACAAGCTCAGAATGGGAACGTGAAAATTGTTAACTTGGAGTATATGAATATATAATCTTGGATTATATATTAGGAAGAGATAAGATAATATGAAAGAAATGCATTTTACATATTGTAAGGTACAATACGAATTATATATAACTACATATGATTGATATTCTGCTATCAGTATCGTAGTATATAATTTTTCATTTTTATACTGTAATATATTTTACAATTATTGTTTATTTCGCAAATGAAAAATCAGGAAATATAAGTTGAAGATATTTTATTCCTTTTGTAACAACTTTCTTTGTAATAAATTAATTCATACTACTTAAAGGGACATTCGTTATGACTAAACTTTTTTCCCAAAGGTCTTTCACTATTTGAATCTATAAAGTAAAGATGCAGTTCATATTAATCATATTTGAAAAAAATATCTTATCGATAATATACATAAGTAAATATGTTTTATATACCTTAATGTCGTCGTCTTCAATCGGCAATTCCTTGACATATATAAAGTCGGGATAGGATATTATTATTTTCTGAATGCTAGGAACAAATTCTGCATCAATTTCTAAAAATTGCGGCTCATATTCGTGATATTCTTTGGAATTTTCGGTGGAATAATATATCTTATATTTTTCATCTTCTTTTATTAATCTAATAATAATATAATAAAATATAATTATATATTTATGTCTCGTTAGATATTTTTTGCTTTTTAAAATAAATTATAATTTTTGTTACCTTATACAATGTATTCTCAGCAATCGTATCTTTGTCTCAAGTGTTATATTTACGCGATTCTTAACGATTCCGTTGATCATAATCTCGCCGTCTTTCGCCACTGAACATTCTTCTTCGATTTTGGAGAGCAAAGGAGGCAAGAAGTCATGAATGTGATCTTTGGCCATCAAATCAGCTGCGCTGTCCAAATCGATGTAATTTATCAAATTAGTAACCATATCCTTAACGTCTTCTTTAAAAGCCATTCTGTGTTCTGTTTTATTTGTGCTATGTGCAATGCCAGTGTATCTAAAATATCCTACAGGCAATCCCCTGCGAAACTTCCAGTCAGTTTCGGTCGCACGTTTCAGAGCTTGCGGAAGGACTTTTTCAAGCAAGTCGCACCAACTGCTTCTCTGATACAAACTTATCGTGACATGCAAACTATGAGTATCATCAATGGTCGTTCCTTGATGAATGGTTCCTCGTGGTAAATACAACAAATCCCCAGCATTGACAATTGTATCCAGTATAGGCTCTCCGATTTCCGATTGATCGAAATTCTTAGACGAACATCTCGCCAAATATTCATTAATACTAGGAGGCATGTATAGTCTCCACCTTTTTTTACCTTCGATTTGCAATATAAATGCTTCAATGTCATCATAATGAGGCGCAAAACCTTGACTATTGGGTGGTGTGAGATACAAATTGGCGCCAACAAAACAGCCAAAAAATTCCTGAAGAGTAGCTGTGAAAGTATGTTTTATAAATTAAGAAACAATAACAGAAAATGTTTAGAGAAATACAAGTACAGTATTCTTACCATTGACCAAATGTAACTGAGGTATATATGTCTGAGGATTTAACATTCTCACAGAACAATCGTTCAGATAATAATCCCAAACGACACTTGGAAGAGCACGACCAGCGGGATTATGAGTCTCTCTCACTCCATCAACATAAGAAGTAATATCAATGTTTTTGGTGAATAAAATATAATTATCTCTCAATATTTTGTCCAACATAGATGTCGATACAATCCATTTGTAATAATTAGAATTATTTCTTTTTATATGGATTGGGGTAGATTCCCAACGTTGCCTGGTTAAGAAAATAAGACAACTAATATTTTAATATATAATAACAAATGCATAATTATACTTGATTTAAACTTACGTAAAAAATGCTTTTAGTCCCAAAGGCTGTATTAGCCACATAAATAAGTTTACACTATTTCCAAGAGGATCATTCATGAATTTACATTTTTCTATATTTATGTCATTTACATGGCTGTCATCACTTTCTTCCTCAGAAATTTCTCTTAATGCTGCTTCAATAATTTTTTCTTTTTTATCACAAATCTTTTTTTCAGTTTTCTTTTTTTGCTTTACCGTTTTTAATTTTGATTTCTTATGTACACTTTGATTATTTACCTCATTCAATTGTATTTTATTCATTCTTTTTAATTTATTTGTAGGTTTCATCAATTTTGCAATAGGTAAGGAACTTTGTTTGCAGGTTTTCAAACTGCCTTTTTTAGTGACAATACCTTTACTTTTTCGAGAAATATTCAAGCTGTATTTATCTTTATTCTGTCGTTCTTGGATTTTATCTTTGATAATCATTTGTTTAATGCTTTCATCAGATACTTTTGACAACAAAGATGTATTTTTTCTTTTTTTATAATTCATTTCTTGCTCTGCGTTTTTACGTTTCTTTGTATGCACAGAAAAAGCTGATCTTGAATTGTTATCAGACATCTCTATGAATAGAACAAGAGTATAATTAGATCTGATTTCATATATAAATGTAAAGTGCAAATTGTTAATCCGTGAAACTTTGAATTTTTACTAAAAATTTACATAAGATATGCCTTAACATAAATAATAACCTTATTTATCATACACGATTTTATTATAATTCTTCTTTTTCCTTTTTATATTCTCGTGGACAGTAGTATTATCAATTTTCCAATTCGCTTCTTGTTGTTGAAATTCTTGCTCTCGAGCATGTGATTCTTCAAATCAATAAGCCAACGACGTATATAACCTAAACACGTTACCCAGCAAAGGAAGTACTTCGTTTGACCACGTTGCGATTGGCCACAGCCATTATATTGACCTGTGCCTAGGGTAACCAGCAACGATTGACCAATCAGAGAGTCCTATTTTGAATTGGCCAATTGGCGTGGGCAATCGAATCCCACCCTAGCAAGAACACACGTAGACGTAACATCACACGATTGGCTATCAATAGAAAAATTTTCGGGACTTTAGAAATTCTCTATTCGATAGCCAATTGCGCGTCTACCTGTATTTCTGTCCGAAAACTTTCTTTGTTGGTACGAGAACCGAGTTTTTCTGCGCATGCGCGACGCTGAAACGACACGTGCTCAATCAGCTGTTAGTAAATTAGAAGAATTAAAATGCCCAAATGCCCAATGATAAAATTAATGACAGAAAATATTTAAAACATTTTTCTTTTTGTAATTATTTTTAATTATTATTTTCTATTATATTATTTTCTAATTATTTTTAATTATTATACTCTTTTTGTTTTGAATAAAGAAATACCATCTCTTTATTTTTACTGAGGAATTAAATTGCCGAATCAATGAAAAAGAAATCAAGATAAATTAAAATCAGTAGAACTGACTATATATATATATATATATATATGTAAGAAACAGATGACGAAATTCAAATTCTTTGATTTTCAGAATTAAAAATTTAATCTCGCAAAATGTATTCACAAGTTTATTATCGATTTTTTTATAAAGAAGAGCGAAAGAGAGAGAAAATACTGTATATTTTTATGTTTTTTATAATTCTTTCACATTTTCAAGATATATTTTTTCACGCAATAGAAAGAAGATAAAAGGACCTAGCGTAAAATTATTTATAGATTTTGAAATATTTATATATATATTTAGATTTCATTAAATCTATACCACCCATAATAAATCTTACGTGACTAAGTTTCATAGTCTAAAAAATCTATACATAATTAATCGAAAGACTAAAAGTAAGAATAACCCGTACGTTGAATTGTATGTTAATTTCCATGTTCTGTACTCTATTCTTAGCCAATTTCTCCTTTTACGTTGCTGTTATATTTCACACGCATTTCATTTGAAATCAATCGATTTTCATTCTATGTATAATTGCATGCAAACGTTAAATAATAATAGAACAACGTAAGAGGGGAAAATCATTAAAAATAGAATGTACAATATAAAGATTCTGTAATTGATGCTCGACATGAAGAAGTTTGCATTACATTAGATACACACATAATGTTCAAGAGATAATCGTGGATATTATTCATTATTGTGGGTGTAAATGTATGTGTGTATAAATATATATTTGTATATTTATATATATACACACACACACGTATAAATAATTTATATACACAATGATAGTGCGTGTGTAGCTCCTGAAAATCGTAATCGCTACAACTATAACGTCGCGACATTATTACTGTTACTATTAATATGTTCTTTATAATACAACATATTTTTGAGCAATCTTGCCGTACTCTCTAAAAATGAATCAGTGTATTATCACTGAAAAACAGGAAATACTCACTGATTAGTTATAAGTTTATAGGTACTGATTACAGTGATAATACACTGATTCACTTTTAGAAAGTACAAGATTACGATATTTTACATTCTCCTTAGCATGTACCAGGTGAATCGAATTCCCCAACTCAATGATGTTTTTTGATTACATTATAAAATTTGACTCGCGTTCGATTATATGATTGCGTATTTCAATCATGCGCAAAATCAGAGGTGAGACTCAATACCTTACAATCATCTACATTTTTTCTTTTTTGAAATAATTTACAAAACATTTTTTATACTTAATTTATATAATTTTTTGTTGTCGCATTATTTTTTTTTTCAATATATTAGGCGTACGTTATCTTATATAATCACGTTCTTTTTATCCGCTCCGTATTATTTTCATGGTACGCAAAATAGTTACTCGAAAGAGTCAACTGTCCGAATAAATTAACTCCGGTTAACCAGGTGGCCTTTTTTTAAATTACACTACAACTATAACGTATACAGAGAGAAAGATAGAGAAAAAGAATTTATAGTTGACCGGAATTATATGACATTCTGACCGAGCCTGGTGCCCAAGGTATCGGAAACATGGATGCGTTTTGCGCGAATTCTCTCGCGTAATTTTGATTATTTCTTTTTCTCACTTTAACAAGTAAGCTTCGACAATAAATCGACGAGGCGTGAATGTTCGAAAATATTGTCCGAGAAAATTATTTCGCGCTTCTGGATTTCCCATCGAGCCATAAGAAGAAATGCCATTAGCGCTCTGTAAACTGTCAATATTTATTGTCGATATTTTATTGGCAATATATTAACACGTACAGTTAAGAATCAACTAAATACATCGGAAACGCTCTACGATCGCCTGTCACCGACTCCTTTGGGCATCAGCTAGGATCTAGGACAAAGCTCACACAACATATAACAGCGACAAAATATCAAATAACGCAAGAATTTAAAGGATAAGATACATCTTATATAATAGAACGTCTTTGAAAAATTTTTTGATGTTTAAAATGTCTTGTTTAAGTAAGCAGATTTCTTTCTCTTAAGACGACTTGTGTGTGACTCGAAAACTATGCATATATAGATTGATGAGAATATACCCGTATAATTGTTAATGGTCGAAAATATTTCGAGTCTATTACATTCGCATCTGTTTCCGCAAATTGCTATAATTGACACACGCAAGATAAAACAACAGCATTTTATACATCAAATATAACGAAAAGGATGTTACAAGATTGTGTGTTTCTTGGATTATAAATATATAAATTTATTTTTTTCATATTGTAAGCTTTTAAAGAAAAAATATATGTGAGCTTAATGAAGTCGTACAGGAGACACATAAATTTAACAATATATATACGTGATTAGTAATACATATCAAAGGATGCGTGTATCGACAAAAAACATTGATAGTTTAAGAGCCATTTTAGATTCGGAGAAACGAATCGTGCGCCCGCAAAATTGACATATTACACAAATTATTGACTTAATGTAACTTTCTTTAAAAATATGCACGTCATCTCAAAATTCTGTTCTTGATTTTACTGTATGTTTTAATTGATATTATATACATGAAACGAGATACGTCTGTGATTTTTACGCAAATTGACCACTTTTGCCTATACGATCTTTTTTCCATTCCTCTTTTTAATTCCTTAATCTCGTAGAATGATATAGTAGCAACATGTTATACGTATCTTTTTAGTTATACAATTACGGAAAGAATTCGGACTACATCGACAGACTAAAAACTATGCTCACGCATTATTGTAACTTCACTAGCACTCGTGACAAATTTTTCTTCTTACAAACGCGTCTCGAGATCGCGGATGTAATCAACTTTCCTTTTTCGCAGATGAAGTAATCGTCGATCGATGTAATGCAAACGTAATTAGCGAATGTAATAAATATGATGGCTACAAATGTAACAACAGCAAGATATAATCATCGATAAAAATTCAGAAGCTACAAATTTTTTTAGGGCAAAGAAATTTTTGATTAACTAATACGAAAAATCCTCAAATTCAACAATTATTTTTGACATAAAAATTTTAAGCACCTCAAAGGGAGATATATTTAAACAGATGTATATGAAAGAAATCCGTGCAAACTTTATACTTTTTAAAAATTTTCAAATATGTTATCGAGACCATAATATAATAATAATTAAAATATCATTCGTAACATGTTTCTAATTTTAATTTCACATAGAAATATAATAGTAACACATGGAGAAATATATAAGATTATATTCTTAAATATATCTGTTCATTCGAACATAAAACTCGAACGAAAATGCTGCTTGATTGGCTAAATTTATTGAGATATTACAGATTAAAAAATAACCATGCATTTTCGAGAAATGCAACATGGAAAAATTGAGATCTAATCTTTATGAATCTTTACGAAAACGAATGTTTCACGATACCTACATGACGATTACTCGATCGAGGATGCAGAGAGGCACACATAACACACCAGAGAATTTACATTATAATTTATAAAAAAATGTGATTTGTATTTTTATACGAATTATATCTTTGCCATGGTATTTTTTTCATTCTGCCGGCTGACTCTTTTGTAAAGTCAGATATCGAGCAATGTAAACGAATGAGAGCGAGTTACTTAATTCCGTGCTCCTAATTTGTACAACTCGATGATCTCAAGATAAAATTATTAATTAGTTTTTTTGTTAAAAATATGTTCGATTTATATAAAACTTTATTTATATTTATTATATATATATATATTTATATATTTATACAAAATTTTTTTTATTTATATGTATATGAAAGTCGATTATTGAATTTCTAGAATTAGGAGCGAGATCTTTTTAAAGATGTCGTTCGAAAGAAGTCGCAACAGGTCGCCGACATGTTTCAGAACAAAATTATTGTCCGAGACGGATAACATCATTCACAAACGAATAATAGCTACTTCCGACTATTGTCTATCATTTTTTTTTTTTTCGTTCGCATTGCTCAATAACAAATATTTCATAATTTATTTAACACGATATATAGAGCGTTCGTAATTGTTTGCAACGCGCTGCCTGTTCCGATTTTTTCGTCCTGCTCGATTTCGCAATAAATACTCCTTGTTACAAAGTCTATCGATATTTTTTAACGTACGATGATAAACATGCATTGTGCAGGCGTGTGCTCGAAATTAATGAATCAAGGATACCGTGATCGTGTACGACATACATACACATTAGGCTATTAATTTCAAACTTATTCATTCGACACATTTATAAATATATAATATTTAACATATTTCACTTACATTATATTTATGTACGTATGTACGTGTGTATGTGTGAGTGTATATGTATGTATGTATATCTTACAGCTAGTATTTACTCATTTTGACCAGACGTGATTAAGACTCCAACAGATATAATTTAAGTTTATACTTTCAGCGCGCGGCCAAGTTGGACAATTCGCCGACATTCGCCGCATCCTCTCACTCCTTAACAAGTATCTATCCACTTAACTTATGATCCCTTAATCAATTAATTATTATCGACCGCGCTTTTTTTTTTTCAAAACTTATCTACAATCGCCGCGTTTTCTCTCTACTCAACAAGCTCTCGCACTCTAGTCCTTTCTTTTAGAATTTCGAAAGTCGTTACACGTTTAACTTTATTGTTTGCAAACCTCAAATACGCGCGGACGAAGCGCCAGGCACTTGTAGATACAGAAAGTTTATATAATAGGTTTTCTTTCGAACGGTGGGATCTTTTGAGGTTCCTCAATGTATCGATATTACGTGTTCGTGGAATTGCAAATCGTAGCTATAATCATTAGTAACAGTCATTTCTACTTTTCTTTAAGAATATAAAATCAATTGTACAACATATTAATCAATATAATTTTCTTTACAAAAAATCTTAAAATTGGAGAAATTATATTTTACATAATTTTTGTATATTTTTGAGATTTCTTTTTTTAGATAAAATTTTCCAAATTGTAAAATTAAATTTGGATTAATTTTTTCAAGTTTTTAAAAAAAATGCATCAAACTGCATTAAATTCTCCAAGAAATTTTCTTTTTTTAGTTTTGCAAGCTTTTTATCTCTGACTAATGTTTATAGAAACGATCCCATGAACAATAAATCACATTTGTCATGAATAAATATAATGGACATTTCTTGTTTCCTTTTGCTTTTGGCTCGTAAAAGAGAGAGCTATGAAATATTATTAGCGATTCAATTCGAATATCAGACTTAGAATAGGATGCTAATCCACGACACATCGCGTTTCAATTCTTCATGTATTTGCCAATTATTAATATTCAATTCTTTTCATCCCTCATTTTAAAATTCTCTCATATTATTTTCGTCAACATTATATTCATTCAAACTTGATATATATAATTGACAAAAATTCACTGCAACTTCTGACAAGAGCGATTATAAAAATTCAAATTCTTTCAGAAAAGAAGTATAATTTTCTCTAAAAATTTTTTTTAAATCTTGAAAAAATAGTTTACATAATTTTTTTACATTTTTAAGATATTTCTTAACAAAATTTTCTATATATTTTAAAAATTTGTAAATTAAGTAATATAAAAAACTTCAGTTATTTTGATTTTAATATTAATATAATATCAATATTAATATTAATATATACCAATGAAATGAATATAACTTAAATATTATATATAAAGAGTTATGTAGATAAATAATGCAATAATGTTTCAAAATTTACTATAGCATTTTAATATAAAAAATTGTCAAATCTTTAATGACAAGATATACATTCGGCAATTTCGACATAACTTCGTTATGTGTATTTTATTCGACTATAATTTCTATAATAAAAAGTCGCATCTCGATATAAATTCAACTTCCGTCATTGTTACATCATCTCAAGCAGAATTTCGAATCTACGGTAACAAGTCGTGGATTAACACATGATTGATATGATTATAATAGAAATGTCAAACATTTATCGAATGTAATTTTAACGTAAGGAATACCGTTAATGCCCCCATTGTTGTCTTCCTGACAGAGCAATGTGAGAGATCTATCATTTAGCTCTGTGTTTGTCTCTTAAAAATACAACACTATTAGCTATTTCATTACAGAAAATCGATCCACAGAATTAGATATAACTGTTGAATGGTTTTGCTTTTCTTTTTTTTTTCCTTAATACTAATTAAACATTGTAGTCGAGTACATGTAATAGGACAGAGACAGAAGAAAAATTGCGTAGCCGCCAGATTTAGACTCGAAGTTCGGCGTTAAAATCACCTTCCTTTCCCATCGTTAACAAAACGACCTAATCTACGTAAAGCGTTACTTTTACATTAAATTACTAATCCCAGTCGTTCCTGCCTCGCGTCATGTCTTTTTTTCCAGACTCGTGTTCACACTTCAGAGACAGGCTTTCTCTTCCGAGTAACTTTCATAACATACTCTTGTAGCATGCATACTCGTAATATAACAGCGCATACACTTAGAAATTAAAGACAAAACTGTACCTAACGCTAATATCGTCCCCTATCGTCACGTTAACGCTATTATTGATCGTTTCATCCATGACGCTGGCACTCTTAAAGCTGATACTTTGAAACTTATGCACTTCGCACACGCCTTAAGTAGCAAGTGAATTTACAGTATATAATAAAATCGCTAATGTGTTTTCGAAAAGTCAAAATTTAGCGAGAAAGATTTCAGTATTTCTACTTTTGATACGCATATATGTCTCCCATAAACAAAGACTTGAAAAACGAAAATATTCTTATATATTTAGTATCTCGTAAAATATATGTATATATGTGTGTGTATAGATGTGTATACATAGTTGCATATTAATGTGTGTGTGTATACTTGTTACATAAAAAATTTACATATTATATGCACACATGAGACGGAATAGTTTCGCAAAATATTACATCTTTTAGGGCAACAGAAGTCGTAGGATATAAAATTAATATTACACAGTTGTGATTTAACTATTACTTATCATTTATGCGCATATTCGTGCAATTTATGCTTTTTTATACCACAAGCTTAGGAGACTTTGTCGATGGCGAATCTTGGAAAGTAGATATACTCTTGACTTTTCATAAGATAAAACTTACTATTTTAATAAGAGAAGTAATAACATGTAGAGATACAATAATTTTACTATAACCTTGTGTGTGTATGTGTGCGCGCGTGTAATATATGTTTTTATATATATATGTATTTTTATATAGATATACAAATATAAATTATTTACCTTACATTAAATTTTACATCTCATAGTTGCATGCTATGAAATTATATCTAACTTTTTTCTAGCTTTTACTTATTTCAATTTCTCAGTTTTTCACTCCATTTTTTTATACATTCTAGTTTTATACACTTTAAGGAGAATTTGAATGTACATGTATTAATCATCAGTTGCAATTTTTCTAATAAATCTAGAGTTGATTTATCCCCGGCAAAGACTTTCACAAAGGCTTAATTACCATTATTTTTTTTTTAAATCGAAATTTTGAAGGCTTTTAGCAAATCAAGCTGCAAAAGAATATAAATAAAATTTTTAAAATGGACAAAGTTTCACGGTGATAAAAAACGTTAAGTTATAAAGCTGCAACAATTAATAGCTTCTAATCAAATATACTTGTTAAGAAATATCGATCTTTCAGCGTCGAACAAAATTTATGGCCAAGAGAAAATATGAAATACTTAAAAGATTTTGCATATAACGCAATACACATTCTTATTTCGAATCAGCAAAGTTTACAGAAATGTCATCTTCATTGCCGAAAAGAAAAGATCATTTGCGAATAAATTATTGAAATGTATATTTACAAATGAGGAGGACTAGTCTCGTCTTTCGTATTCTCACTTTTTCTAGTCCTGTTTTCGTTCAGGCGCAGGAAAATATCGAGCCAAATTTGTTGCTTTCGAAAAAACACGAGAAGATGAAAATACAGTGATATAGAATATCATGCAATCGGTTACATAATAGTATCTGACGTGCATTCATAAGGATATTTTATGATATGCGACTCACAGATTTTCTTTCATTTTCTCTGCGAACACGAAACTAAGTTGAATCATATCAATTAATTATTTAAACGAGAAGATATGCTTTTTAAATCTTACAGAGAAATTTAACAGCTGAATAATATACTATAATTGTATGTGAAAAAAAACTTATTGAATTAATTGATAAATTTTGCGGTTTACCAATATATCTGATCTCATTTTGGTATTCACTGGGACATTGATTATATCGTTATAGCAGCTCCTTACTTGCCTTAAAATCTAATTTGCATCGTCTACAATTTATTTTAAAGTTTAATAACATTCATCCCTTTGTACGTCACTTTATCAATCGTTATTCAATTGCGATTGATAAAATAACGACCGTTATATTTTGTTATCGCTCATTCAGATTTGGTACCTGTATGTATCTCTTCAACAACGCGAATAAATAATCTTTTCCTTTTTTTGTTTTATTTTTCTTATTTAATATTTCCCCCAATATTTTATCCACCTCATCAATTGTCCTGACTATATTATCCGAACTATGCCTACGCCTATGTCGTTTCGAAACAGGTCTTAGATAGATGATAATAAAAGCCGTTATATAGCTATCAGCGCAGATGTGCCCGAAAAGAAGTAACGTTTCACCTAAAAACCACGAATTCTAGATATTCGTTACAACTGTGGCTGCGTCTAGTACGGGCCGAGAATACAGGCTTTTAACTTTAAGTTTCACATGCTTTACTTTAACAACTAGAATAAATATTACTAATAGATCAAGGTCTTCTTTTCATACACACTTTCCGATATAATATTAACATTATATCCTTTATAAATCTAACATTAGAATCATTAATACAGTCAAAGATAGCATTTTCGCTCTTTTGTATACATTGTATATTAATTAAAAAAAAAAATCGGTGGTTCAACAAAATAATTTTCCAAGAATAGTCTCTCTTAATAAAAGCATTGTTATTATTAATACTGATTTACAAACTTTCAGAATCATAATTAATTGCAATGGCAATTGCAATTCCTTTTTTTATACGAACACTTATATAATTATACAAAAACAGAAAAAAAAATCTAGAGTTGTATATTAATGATTCTAATAGTAATACATAATTTAACGCGACAAATTATTGATACATAATTATACATCGCATATTACGACTTGTGTTCATATATTAATAAGATTTTTTGATCTATTAATATATGACTATCTCAAAAATTGGATTATACATGTTACTTCCAAGGCTTTGCTCTTATTTTAATTATTAATAATTATTGTTCCAAAAGATTATTGAAATAGATTTGCACGAATCGCGATCATTAGAGTAAAAATATGAAATCCCTAAAGTTTGGCATTATCAAGCAAACGGATAATTATTCTCTTAAAACTGATAAGAGGTCCTTACTCGTACATTACTCTTACTGCTAATCTTGGTTTTCACAATCCTCTCTTTTTAAAGCAATAGCTCTAATTCTATTAATTACTAACGCATCTTTACGTTTGCATAATTTTGCATTACATCAACGCAATATCGCGATATTATTTTTATCTCGAAGTTTCTTGCACGTTCTGTGAAAAGGCCTTGTTATCGGCCTACATTTAATGCCATATAAATTCGGCTTATTCATAGCCATTATTCTTTTATCTGAGTAGATAACATCCCGGCTTATCTCGGACACCAGACATGGATATCCGTTTACTTTCATTCCCGATACGCATTTAACACAGATAAAGTTGTATACATTCTTAGAATTATACCCTAACTGTATTTTCTAGTTCAGTAGTGTCATAGTTAATAGTTGTAAGCATAGATTATGAGCTGTGTGCAACGTGCAGACAATAACGCACCTTAATGAAAAATTAAATGAAACGAATAAAATATATATTCTAACAAATTAGTTAGCATTAAAATGATCATATTCGATTAAATTATGCTAAATTTGAATCCTAAAAAGCTTAAAGTGTCCATTTGAGAGAATAACTCTGGGTAAGAAATATAAAGAGAGTAAGAGAGAATAACTCTCTGTGTTACATTTCATAATCATATTGATAAATATATTGATAAATATATCGAGAGTAATTTTCGACAGTATTTTTTTTTTTCAAATAAACACTCAAAGCTATTAAAAATTATGACGGAAGTCATATAAATAGCGCGAGTTCTCTACATAACATTCCTCGGCTAGTTTCACTACATAATTGTCTTTATGTACGAAGATTATGTCCTTTCTTATCAACTAAGCTACTTAGACGAAGTATACACACAAATTGGTGTTGTTTTATCGGTTTTCTTGAGAATACTCCAGGATTATCTTTAAAATGGTTTTGTGATTTAAAAGTGCATCTCGTATAAAAGATAGCGGCATTGTGATTCTGCAGATATGATGTAATAATGTAACTCACAATCCTAAAGTTATTATCATCATTACCAACTGACTGTCTTTAGCTTTTATTATGCCAATCTCTGCAGCATGATTAGAGATCTAGAATTTACAGAATTTACAGAATGGAGTTGTACACTCCACGCGAAATAAAAACTATACATACATACAACAGGATAACAGTCTCGCAAATAGCGATTTATACAATCATGATTTTGGTTCTTTTGTTCTTTCCCCCTTCATTTTGCACACAAATGCTAGGGAAAACTCGTTCCCTGAAAAAATAAGCGTAATATGCCGCACTAATTTCATTGTGAAGTCATTTAAATCGAAAAGTGCTATTATTTATCTCGATAGCGTGTAACAGAAATCCACATTCAGCTTAAATCAATCTGTTATTAGCTTAAGATGTCACATTCAATTACCTCCTCAATCTAATCTAGCTTAATTTCCATAAAAAAAAAAAAAGAAAAAAAAATTGTTTAGCTTACTTTCAATCTACTTTTGCAAATGGCTGTTTACCTTTGCAAAATGGCTTAATCTGATTTAGAAACTGCGCGCGCATTAGTTAAAAGCACCCTCGTAAAAACTTAGTCTATACAAAGTTCATAAAATCAAATCGAGAACTCGCTCTTCCTCTGTACAGATGTGAATATAACATACAATATATATGTCACACATACAAAAAAAAACTATCGTATAAACTCGATAAGAAAATGACAGAAAAGAAAGAGAAACAGAAAAGAAAGTGTAGAAAATTGACCAATCACTCTAACTGTTAAATAGTCCAAGAGAGTTTGTAACGCAATGCGTTATACAGTTGCGCTTGGACTGTTCCCGGCTGTTCGCTGAAGCTTCCTCGTCGGTTGCACTCGTCACAGATTAATATTATATACAGTCATTTTCTCACAGAGATAAGCAAGACTGAATCCATATATATATTCGAGCCATATATATATTTCGGTCCAAAGAATGGAATTATGCGAAATACATAACTCGTTTTGTGTCTGCATGAACCGTGATTGCTCGTGCCATCGCACCCGGTGTCCTATCTTCGCTACAACCCGACTGATGAGAACCTTCCCCACTGTAAAATTTAAGAAAAAAAGGTATAATAAAGTATAAATAATAAAAAGTATAAGACTCGAAATATAAAATTAACAAATCAGTTTCAATAACAACAATACGAGTCGGGTGTCGATGTTATAACACATTTATTTATTTATTATACAAAAAAGGAAGAAACAAGACAAAGAAAAAGAAAGGATAGCGAACATTTCGATTCTATTTTTGGTCATTTTTTCTTCAGTGCAAATGTGATGGTGATATAAAATATGTTGTTGGTGATATTGTAAAATATATAACAATATCAACAATGTATTGTTGGTGATATTGTTATATATTTTTTTATATCACCATCACATTTGCGCTGAAGATGACCAAAAAATAGGGTCGAAATGTTCGCTATTCTTCCTTCGTCTTTGTATTTGTTTCATACTTTTTATTGTATAATAAATAAATAAATGTGTTATAACATCGACACTCGACTCGTTTTGCTATTGAAACTGATTTGTATAATAAAGTCTCACGAAGCATTTATAATGATATGATAAAAAAATTAAACACACCTATCATGTTCTTTCTCGACCAAGTGGTATCTGGCTCGGAATGCTACGAGATGAGCGTAATACGCCGGTGCTGGTATACTGACGGATCTCGTGCATCTGACATAAGTATGACACAGCTGGTATGTGAGACATTGTAATTCATCGCTTTCGAAGTGATTGTCGTCCCAAAGTACATGATAATGCGATGGTCTCGATGTGCCCTGAAACAATAGAAACGAGTGTTTATAGAAATGCACGGTGTGATAATGAAGCATGTTTTTTATGTAAAGACTAGTAAGTTTACCTGGATACCCTGGTGACTGCAGAGGTAAAAATCGAATTCCGTTGGATGAGTTATACACACATCGACAGTTGTGCCCGCTGGAATATTTCCACTTTTCCCGCTTTGTTCTTTCTTGTCTGCACAGAACAGACGCGTGTGATGTCTCTTCTGTACGACAATAAACGTTATGCCGGGTCTATAATCGATTTCGAGCTTGAGACACGCCTCACGAATGGCAGTTAATTCATGTTGCAAAACGGTGAGAAACTGTCCTTCGGAGACGCCATCGCGATACAGAATTATTCTATGAGGCTTGTATCCACCCGTACTCTTGTAAAACATTAGAAGCAATTCCCTTAAAGAAAAAAAAAGATATGACGATTAGAGATGTATTTAATAGCAAGAAAAAATAAGAAACAAATGCGAACCTGAGATAAATATGACAATACTTTCAATAATGACTGATAATTATCACTTTTTAATAATTTTGCAATGTCTATTAAATATGTAATTATGGTATTTCATAATAATTATTATAAATTAAAAGTTTTGACATAAAAAAAATCTTGATATCACATCTATTGAAATGTCACAATTAAATCATCTATTTAAAACTTATATTTACTAAATGTCTTGTAAAATTTCATAAATTAATTCGAATCACTCACCTAACCATCGAACTGAGTTCCTGGATAATCTCTTGTCTATGCTGTTGAACCCTAACTGTCGCTGCGTATCGAGATGGATGGGCATCCATGCTGCCCACTACAGCAGCTATGCTGGGTTTCTTGTTATCTCCCGCCGGCGGGTGAGTTACATCAGCTCCAAGAAATATAACTGGTTCGTTAAACACTTTCGGTCTTATGCTAGGTACTAAAATGCTATTGATGCCTCCTAATTTGACATTTATTTTAAGACAAAGATTGGATAATGTTTGCGGCGAAGTCTTATTGACATTTTTCGCTTGTACACATTGAGTCGCCATGCCTAATAATGTATCTCCTACTCTTTTCACTTCAGCTGAAAAAAAATGGAAAACAATTTATTTCGATTTACATTTATAAAAGAATTACATAAAAATGTTCTAGGATTATTTGTAAAATATATGTAATTTAATCCGAGACATTCTAATTTATATAGCATATATAATTACCATATACAGGAGTTTTGCCAGGTAGCACAACACAAACTAGCTGCAATTGCGAGAAAGTCGATTTCAAGTATCTAAACATAGGTTCGACTTGATCCGGTCCAGTAGCGTATTTACAAAAACATGGCTGCCCAATGATGGGCATGCCAGCATCATTACTAATTTTCTGGAGTTGTGTCGTGAATAAACGTAGCGCGTCTTCACGCACTGTTCTTTGTGGCGCAAAACAAGCAATTGCCCACACTCTAATCTCCACTCCAGTAAAGAACTGCTTGCCACGCATATCCCACACGCCTTGATTAGGCATTGCCTGCTGCTTCGTCTTTAGGGAAAGAGACATGTGTTATTGAGGGTCAACGAATTGTTTTAACAATATGTAATCATCCTACTAATAGATGCATCAGTGTTTCCATACATAAACATTTCTTTTTTCACACGCAATTTTACTTGCAATTTTAAAAGCAACATAAATGAAAACTTTTATGATTCTAAACCTAGTGGAAAAAAGATTATTTATGTATCAAGAAAAATATATCAAGAATATTGCTATAGCATGGAACAGATACTGATGGCATCAGACTTTCGAGTGATATCGGACTGCAAATGTAACATTAGTTACATTTGTAAACCGTAAGTTATGATTCTCTACCACTATAGCAAAAAGTATATCTTTGTCATATCTATTATTTATAATTGACAGCAGTGAATACTCGTTACACTAACAGCCCAGATATCAAATCAATCAGGTCTAGAACCCATGCATTCATTTGACAACTTTTGGCCACGTGTATAGAGATATATGTCAAAGATAATCTTGTTATTAAATATTAAAAATGTATATTATTATTACAAGTTTACAAAATTAAATTGAGAAATATATAAATGTAAGTGCTACTGTGTCATACAAGATGTAAAATAAATATCAGATGTAAAATAAATATTACACGCTAAAATCAGCAATAACAATATGAAAATGTCTCTTATATTCATTATAGCTTTTTAACACAGCTTTGTTTTTGCAAAATATGTATATATATATATATATATATATATATATATATATATATTTATTTATTATATAAAATGTATAATAACTGTTCATCGAACACACACATATCCAATGCTACATAAAAAAAAAAAAAAAAAAAATTAATATGCTTGCTAAAAATAATGAAATTTATTAGCCCTTGCAAATGTGTGATTCGACTAGACCTGACTGATTCAGTTGGAAGTTTCTCACCTGTCCACTGAGGGAACTTACGCGCCCTCCGTACTGCAGTTTGGGCGGAGGTAATACACGACCCCTGACTTCCATCATACTATTCGATATAGTCAATCCAAATTCTTGCACGTAAGAATCATTGTTAAAGTCAGCCCTTCTAACTAGATTGTTAATCTCCCGTTCGCGATCTGGTGCGGAACGCGCTGTAGCTTTGATCATGGTCGAGGTCTGCATATCAGTTAACTTCTTAATGCAGCGTTGTCCAGCAACAATATTGCAAACCTATCATGTAACAAATAATTGCATATCATTTTATATTCTCTATAAAATATTAACGCTTACAAGTTAAGATTTTGTGCACAAACCTCAAGAGGCAAATATGTATGTTTGTGTTCTTGACCAACTTGCAAACAAGGAAGATGTGGGTGGCGCAATTTCATTTTGTACTTATCTAAGAAATATTTGGCAACTGTACATTCGACTGTTTGTCCATTTTCCAGTTGCAATGGAAATCTACAAATTAACAACAATTACAATGTTGTAAATTTCTATTGTTTTGACGACGACATTATCATTTCAATGTATACTTACGATTGCATTTGAGCTGGTTTACGTGTAACATTGCACACTCTATATTTTCGCTTCATAGCTCCGCAGTGAGTTATTTCAATCTTGAGACCCTTGATTTCTTTGGTAAATTTCACTCTTTGAGAATCTGTCAGTGGTTTTCTTTGTTCGTTGATATCTCGGATATCCAATACTTCACACATAAATTCTATAACCGGCTGTGCCTTGTAGAAGGCAGTGGCAGAGACTAGAAATATAAACGGATGAGTAATAAAGTCATATCGGTATAATACAAATCAAAAATTGTTTTCCGCGCGTTTACCATCAATATTCAACATCATTTTCCATTGCGATGGTCTCACTGATTGATGGAATCCAAACCATACTTCTCTGCCTCCGCCCAATGGGTGATAGTATCCTTCTGGCGTACTAAAGAACGATCTACCTACTGGAGTGTATGTCATAGATGGTAAATGCCTCATTACGACGTCTAAAGCGAGAACAGCATCATATGGAATTTGTCTAGTTCGTCCCTCTAGAGCCTCTTCTAAAGCAAATAGCGATACCTGCGCCAACCATTTTATAACAACACGGAAAACTCTATCTTTACCCTCACCAGGCAGTGTGACCTGTAAAGACAGTTAAATAATAATTATAAATGTCGTGCAATATAATTGGAATTTTCCAATAATAATAACTCACCTCTAATTCTACTTTATCATGCCCAATAGGCAAGGGGTCCCTTGTGTACAAGTTATTTCTGCCATCAAACACAGGCTTACGAGATTGAAATATTTTAGTATATGCATGAACCATAGTTTCTACAATTTCCCTATTAACTTTCCGAGGACATTTATCCGGCTGTATGCTAATGTCATAATGATGAACATAGCCACGTGGCATACTAATTTGGAAGTGGTTAGCTCGCAAACCAATCGGTCTGCCTTCTCGTCCTATGTTTGGTCTTCGAGGGCATGTAAACACTGGGCAAAAAGTAATATTAATTACAATCAAATAAAATTAGCTTTACAACATTTTTCACTTAGCAGAGAACAGTTTTATTTAACAGAGTTATAAATGTATACGCACTTGGCAGTTCCGTAGGTTGAGGAGGAGTGTGTGCCTGTTGTGCGGGAACAAGCCCCATATTGCTGGGAGCTGCGACACTACTTGCCGCTACTCCCGCTGCTGTCCCAACAGAGCCACCACTTGTTGAAGGTCCAGGTGGAGGGGCTGCAAAAATATGTGTAAAATAATATAAAATATTTCTCAAAAAATCAGTGTGTCAGTTATGTATACTTTGTCTGTATTTGTGGAATAATATTACATACTTGAACTTTGCATCTTTTATTTCTCTTTGTGTGCTCTGGGATGCTCAGTTTATTATAATCAGATCGTACAGCAACGAATATCTATGCGCAATAATAATAGTCCAAGGTATTGCAAGGTATTGCACACATCAAGTAATTATTATTATATGTATAATAACGAATTTAATGTTAAATGCTCAATAAGAATTTTTTTTAAGTCAAAGTTAACAGATTACGATATCTCAGTTCTTTTTTTATATGCAACGTCAGTGATTGTAACAAACTGTAAAAAAATAACTCTAGATACATTTAAGATAATTAACACAAAATATTTTTTCTCAACAACATTTTTGTATCTTAAACAAATGATATGCTCAACTCAACATTCAGATAAAATGTCAAGTACATAAACATTATTTGCATCATGTTTAAAAATAGAAGATAAAGAAACAACAAATATTAAACAATATAAAATAAAAAGGATTGTATTAGCATTGCTAAGTTATATTACTCTAAACACTAAATGTGCATTAAATCAATAATTACTACATTGTATCTATTTTGTTTGCACACTTTTTATTCTGCTACAATATATTTATGCTTGACAGTTTATTCAAATATTGGAATCATTGTTAATTATCTTGTCTATAATTTAGAAAAAAAATTGACTATTGTATTCACAATTGTAAGCTCACTTAATGCCTATGTCAAAAATATTCCTATTACAAAACTAAAAAAAAACAAAAAAATAAAAATATTATTAATCAATTTTATTTTTAAAAGTGTGTGTCAACAAAATGTTTATAAAAAAATATTCCACTATCATCGATACAAAATCTTTTTCTTTACAATTTTTTGAAACTGCATAAATTGCATAAATTCTAAGTAAATGAAGTATGTTAAAAATATTTTGCGATTTTAAGTAAATCTTATAGAAGAAATTTATAACAAAGTAAAGACAGCTTTTCAAAATAAATCGCAATAGTGCTTCGTATATTTATTTCCTAATTGAAATATTTTAATCCACCAAAACTAAACTCGTTATAACAGATTACGCATTGCTAATAAAATTTAAGAAATGATACCAAAGTATCTCATGATGAATTAATTTCATGATACTTAAATATACTATTTTTCAAATAATTCAACACATAAAAGCTTAAAAAAAAAATGCTTCCGATAAGCATGCTTTTTAAGGCAATCTTCTAATACGTGACTCCAAAATGTATGACACACACATTCATATAGTTAATATACAGAATTAATTTTCTCCATCTATGCCATAAATTTGGATATACATCCCGAGAGAAATATCGCGGAAAATCATTAATCTCCCAACAGACCGAGCCTATCCTACTCGGGATTCACTTATGCCCAAAGGCTAAGATTCTTTGTCCGTATAACAGATAAGATAGAAAGATCATAATTCAGAAAGAGAGAGACACAGCGAGCTGTAGCGGACTAGGTTTAGGCAACGCGTAAAGTATCCATGAATCGAGTCGCGAGTGAATGACGACAGCACGCGTGCCTGTTGAACGAGGTTCATCCGAGGTCATTGAGCGAATCATCCGCGGAGGATCACGCACGGGGCGTCGCGAGAGTCCCTCCCCTCCCGCGCAACGTGCTTTTTTTCCAACGACACGGCACGGACGGCCACTCGAGACGGGGAAACGAGGCGGAGGAGGCGTCCGAGGGACACCGCCGTGCGAGAGTCAACGATATCCGCGAGCTCGCGAGCTCGCGAGCACGCTAGCTCGCGGATGTCAAGAGAGGGGACGTCGGGAGCGTGTTTACGGGGGTTTCCGCGGCCACCCCGGACGGGGACGATGACGCAGAGACACTCACGTTGTCCTGCGGGGTACATATTCGCTGCCGTCGAGCGTAAAAGACCGGATAACCACTAATAAATAAGTAAAAAATTCAACACAAGACCCCGCTGGCCACACCACACACGCTTCCCCACAACACACACTGCGAACGACACCACCGAACGAGGCTGTCCATCTGCAATGGCGTCCGCTAGCGCGGCGCCCATTGGCCGCGCAACCTGGACTAACCGACTCTCACCGAGAAGTGCCGCGGTCGACAATTTTTCGCGCCGCCAGACGCCGCCGGAGGGCGCCCCGCTCGCTCCTTCGTGCGCGAGGATTTCAAAATCGTCTTCCAATTATTTCACTCGAATTCAATCGTCTGGAATAGTGTCATTCGATGAGATGATTTTTCATTTGTTAGATTTTAAAATACTCGGACTTTTCTGTAATAATGTTCCTCGATTCACTCGGAGAACAGTGGATAAAAATAGCGATGAATATGTATATCGATAGTGTGTTAATTGCACGTCATTATTCTCCTTCTTCCTCCTCTCTATCTCTTTTTCTTTTCCTTCTTTTCCTATAAAAACTACTCATTTTATTTTTAAAACATTATCACGTAATCTAATACATGCATCACTAAGAAAAATGTTCGAGGAATATCATTCAATGATTATTATCCACTTTTATAGAAGATTAAAAATATTATTAAAATATAAAAATTATTTTAAAAAATTGTGCTAATAATAGAATATATAATTAATATATAACAATAATTAAATATCAATTATATAATAATTATATAATATTTAATATATTAATAAAATATTTATATTAAGAAAAATGTTCGAGGAATATCATTCAATGATTATTATCCATTTTTATAGAAAATAAAAAATATTATTAAAATAATATAAAAATTATTTTCAAAAATTGTATTAATAATAGAATATATAATTAATATATAACAATAATTAAATATCAATTGTATAATATTTATATAATAATTATATATTTATATAATATTTATATAAAAATTATATAATATTTATATTGATATATACAATTAATATATAAATTATATATTCCATAATATATATAGAAAAGTATGTGTCATTGTCGATCAAGCTATTGCGCAAGTTGACGCGCACACTGTGGAGCCTATTGCCAACCTGCGGTCAAATCTGTCGGATGGCAACACTGACACGACAAGTTCGGACAGTGCGACATCGCGACGAGTTCGTCGCGCACGATTGTGTTTGCACATAATTATTGAAAATGTCGATCCCTTACAGCGGGACCAAAAGGCGATCCATCGGTGTGATGGCCGCGATCATAAAGCATCTAAAAATCATTAATTTAACGCCGGTTAAAAGGATCGACTTCCGTTTCGACCCGTTCCACGAGCGAGTCAAGCCGATAAGGTTAGTCTCCTTCCTAAGGTTGCTTGCGCATCCGCGGAAATTATGAAAGGGCGTCGCAAATTTGTATCTTTTTTTTCATAAAGTTTTTTTTATAATATGCATATGTTTTTTATATTCGTGATGTTGTGAAAAAAATCGTATAATTGCTATCTTCAGATTCTTGAAAGGTTAAAAAATCCTAAGAATAAAATCATTTATACAAAATTGTCAAAATTATAATCATTCTTCTTCTCACGCAATATGTCAAAATTTGATTAAGTAAAATATCAAGTAATATAATATTTAAAAAAAAAATAGTAATAAAACAATTTATTGAGACAAAGACGGCCAGAATCTGAATTAAAATTCCTCGAAATATTAATACTTTAATCATCTGAATCGTATATATATTATTATGAGAAAAATAAATATATCGAATGTACACGATTTTGAACAGAATCATATTTCGCGAGAGAGTAAAAACGGAGTAAACGCGGGGCAGCGCGGCTGTCAAGTCGGGTCAGGTTAGGTCGGCGGCCGATGACGTCGATAACGCACGCACGCGCAACTCGCACCCTTCGCGCTAAGCTAGCAGACGATCCGCACAGCCCCGCTGTTATTTATAGAAGTGTCTCGATCGTGCGCGCGTTATTAATCGGGAAAGCCACGGAAAATTCTTCGAGCTGCTCCGTCGTGTCCTGTGTACATGTCTCCAGGATATAATCCACGTTCGAGGTGCAAACCGCAGGATGCGCGAGGTAAACGAGACAGCTTTTCCCAAACCGCCCCTCGCGATTTCCAATATCCCGTAATCGTGCTCATTTTGACGTTTGTACACAATCGTGGCTGCGCTCGATACCGTTCGACGTGAATCGTCCATTTCCCTCGTTTTAATATTGAATCAGATAACAACTTCGACTGTCAATCGAGAAAAGTTATCTTGCGCGAGCTTCATTTCAGAAAGCTTGTATTCGTTATTTTCCTGCCTTTTTTCATTTTTAGAATCCTCCCTTATCTGATCCCATCGTTCGTTTCGGTTTTCAGTCGATAATCGACTATGTCGATGATAAGAGAAGTTAATATAGCGATTAAGATTTTTTTAAGATAACTAATTAATTGGATTTTTATGTATTTTTAAATTTTGATACTTTTAATTTTTTTACGTATTTTTAATTTAGTTTAATTTAATTTAATAATTTGATTTAATTTAATTTAATTTAATAATTTGAATATTTTCACGGATATAAAAATGTTTCAAGTTGAAGAGAATAATTATCTTATGCTTTTAAATTTAAGCTAATAAAAAATATCAAAGAGAAGTGCGCACAGATAAACGTTCCTTGTGTTATGAAGTTTCTTACATTCATTATGTTTTTCATCTTTGCTTCAATTCGAATGAAACTTACCATTACACTGGCCACATCCATATGCTTTGCCAAGCATGGAGACGGCTGTAGTTATGCGAAGGGTGCTTAAATCTGGCATTGGAAGCGGTAATTGCTGCTCCATTTGTGCCATTCTGCCTGCCAAAGGAAACAACAAATATTGAAAAATATAATGAAAATTGATAATTCGCATATCCTAGTATCAGCGCCAAGCCAAGTGCCAAAGCTAAGGATAGAGAGAGAAAAGAAAAAAAAGAAAGAAACATAGGTTTAAGCAGTACAAAATTTAATTTCTACTTTAGAGAAACTGTACAGACAAGCGCGTAAATCAATACCTTCGTTGCAGATAACGCAAAAGAATAACGTGCATAACGCTTTTTGCTTGCAGAGATTTTCAATTTTTCATTAGCGCGCCGAGAATTTGTGCGACAAACCCGTATTGTTTGATGAAAACAGAAGTCGTATGCGATCGTTCTGAACCAACCGTTACATTCAGTCTTCGTGAGTATAACAAAAGTATTATGTGTTCAAACTCATCATTCATTCACTTTAGAATATAGCAACATTACAAACAAGATTCTGTTCATATTAACGTAAACAAGATATTTTAAGATATATGAAGGATATTTTAAATATAATTCTAGTTTTCATCTAACAAATCTTCTGAATAAATTGTGTACATTAATAAGAAATTTATTTACTGAGTGAACAAGAATATAATTAAAACTGCAGTTATTTATTTATTCGCCTAAAATAAACTTTTTTTATACTTTTTCTCTTATAATCGCAATCACGCGCAGATAGATCATTCGATTCTTTACTTTTCAGAATCAGGTGATAAGGTGATATTAAAAACAGGTCTTTTAACGTGCTTGAACATTTTGGAGCTTTACAACAAGCATATTGCCAGCTTAATTCCGCCTGACCCAGCTGTGCTTGAAGCTCAAAAAGAGCTCCAAGAAAAGAAGAAAAAGAAAAAGAAATCGCATCATAAACACAAAGAAGGAAAAAAGAAGAGACCAGTAAAATTACTGGGTTAATTTAATTGGCGACTTATTAGATTACTTACGATTACTCGACTGGTAATAAATTAAATATCACTGATTTTTTTTTGTGGCCAAGTTTTCATTAAAGTTTATTTAAATATACGAATATTTAAATTATAGTTCTTCGACAAATATCATCGAAATCGCTTTATACTATTTTCTGACGTTTTATAAATAATTTAAGTGAAAGATTATTAACTGGAAAAAGTTAATCATCTACTGCGTAATATTTGATTTAAATTAATCTTCAAATCTGCTTAAAATTTTGTAAAGTAATGTCCAAATAAACATTACAACAATTATTTATATTCTTGCAGGGTTTTTCATTTTCTAGAAATCGAAAAACGTTCAATCTACATTAACTTTATAGTTTTGATACTCATTTTATTACGATAAAGCCAATCGTACAAAAAAAGAAAAATACCCGTGCAACATTGATTTAACGGAAATTTACAGAAAGGAAGATAATAAAAATGGCGAGCGAGACAGGAAATAATAAAGATTACAATTTAAGACTTATCGATATGCTCTACAGTCAAGTTCCAGCTTTCACTGATGTATTTGACGAAGAAACTTGGTATATTTTTGTCATTTGTTTTGTAGCAGGTACTTTTCTAGTCGCATTTATTCTTTCGAGATTTATAACTATAAAACCCGTCGAATAACATCATGCATTCAGCGAATTCAATTTACAAGATGTCTTGTATATTTTGTTTTGTTAAACTCTAGATTTTTTATAAAATTAGTATCATAACATTAATTATTTAACACACGTTATAACCAATAAATTAAACTTTTAAGTCTCATTCTTTAATAATTAAATAAAATCCTACGCTAGCAAGCACAGAAAAAGAGATGTACTTTATAAATGTGTATCGTAAATCATTTATATATATGCTCTGATAATAAAATAAGCATTAAAAAGACGTACAATTTTGTATGAAACATTTAACTTCCTTTAGTATGTAAACGATAAAAAAATTTAAGATTTTCGTCATTAACATTTTCGTAATTAACATTTTCAAAAGAATATATAAAAATTAAAAAATTGCAATAGAATAATTACAATATTAAAATAAGAGCTGAAAAGGGGATATGTAAATATATAAAATAGTCTAACAGTTGATAAAGTGTTTCTGTGAATAAGTCCAAATATAAATTAAAGAATTTGAAAGTTTAGCAATTATTATATTTAATATAATTACATTCAGAAACCATATTTCTCACCGCACTACAATTTTCATTAACTGCATTGCTGTACAATTATCTTTCATTTATTTTGTCAAAATAATGTAAAAGCAAAGTTGTGAATAAAAAAAAGAAGTTTATAATGACTTCTGCAATACACATGAGACATTCAAAATTCCGCGATAATTATTAATTACACAATCATTTATAGTTTTCTTTTATTATATAATGAATAGTTATATAATTCAGAGAAATAAAATTATATCATTTACCAGCTGCAATGAAATTTTTATAACAATTTTATACACGTGTTTCTGATTTATTAGCATAATATTTAAAGAGAGAGAAAAATTTTAATCTCCTTTAAGTTACTTCCGCGCGATTAATAATGAAATGCTTAAAAAAACAACGCAAAATATCGTCCAGAAAAGTTCGACAGACCGGTGCGACGATTCTCGTTTCTCAAGTTCGCCGAGTTCTCCATCTCCTTTCTTCTGCCCACTTCTTTCCTCTTTTTTTTTCTTCCTCTCACTCGTTTCCTTTCATTTTATTCGTTTGCGTGCGCGTTTCGCTCCTTTCATTCTTTGTCCGTGCATTGCTATCGTCCTTGCTACATCTCTTTAAACTTACAACATTTTTTTCTCTCTCGCTCTCTCGTACGCTCGTCTTAAATCGGATTGCTAAGAACTAAGTATCTCCATCGTATGACAGATAATTATTCGACAAAAAAATTCGCGGTCTTGCTTGAATAAATTAACTTTGTTGATTAACATTCCGAGATTAGCAAGATGGACGTGACGTTCTACATTCGCGATAATAAAATTGTAATATATGAGAACAACCAACTGAAACAAACAACCAACCATTTTGCTAACATTATAATACATATATACACACATACACATTAAAATTTATATTTTATTAAAGTTCTGCATTTTTTTAGATTCTCTTTAAATGTAATTTAATCGATGTTTGGCAATTTTTGTACATTTTTATATTTATTTAGTATAATAAACGACTGATTTAACTGTAAATGTACGGTGAGAATATAGTCAATTATGTTTAATAGCAAATTTGTGAGAGATATTAGATAATTTAAAGAATAGAGAACAGTTCCAAGTAATTGTTTTAAACTATCCATTTTTATTCATAATTCTTAACCATAATTATTTTAAAGTAATTTATAACAATGATAGAAGCAGATATAAAGCAGATTAATATATAAAGAATAAATAAGAAGGAAGAAAAAGAACAAATAAAAGTTGTGAAGCTAATATTACTAAAGCTACAAAGCAATCTATATTGAAAATAAAATGGATTTAACTCTTTCAATGCGATCTTTCAGTTGTTGTAAAAGGAGAAACAAAATGTAAAAATATTTTATTTTATATCATATAAAATTTTCTCTTCCAAAATACAGTAAATCTAAGATTTAGGCAAAACGAATGTACAGATCTTTTATATAGGATTTCCTCTTTGTATTTCCACAACGAAAAGTCTTTTGAAAAGAAAAATCGCTAGAATCTTGAAACAGTTAACGACCAATGGAAAATCAGGAATTGAAATCGTGATAATTTCGACAAATATGATTTTGCACGCCTAAGAACCTCATATCAATCGTCGTTGAATGAGCGTCATTCTTGCGTGTCGGCAGTCACGACAAACCAATTCGGCGAAATTCTATCAATTTTCAATCACGCGATAGCTTCTCACCTAGCATGCTCGACTTACCTCGTTCTGCGTGTTTCCTCGGGATGAAAGATAAATTACAAGACGCGAAGATCACGTCAATCGTTTCCACAGCGTAGCTGTATATTCCGTTTCTTCACTTTACACCGGCATTCCCAGCGGTTCGCGCGTTCTGTACGCACTGCGTTGCGCGTATTGTCCACGTGCGTACACGCGAGGGGCTACGTCGCGCTGCCGCGGCTGTCACTCGCGAACTCGGGGAATCGCATCCCTCGCGGCCTCCGACGTCACAAAGTCTCTACACGACGCACACACGTGACTCCGCGTCGACGATTCTCTGCACAGAAAAAAAAAATAAGTGTCAAATCAAAATTTATATACTTAAACTAACGCGTTCATTGTTTCGTATATACGCAACAATTTATAATCTTCTTAGAAGAATTTAATAATTTTAAACCTGAACAATAATATAGAAAAATCTTATTTTAATATTGTAATTGTCACCTCAAGAATATATAATTATTTAATTCTATTTAATTCTTTAAGAAAATTATAATCTTTGATTTAAAAATGTTATTTTCTATCTAACATTGTTTCTTTTCCATTCAAGAAAATTAAATCTTAAATCAGAAGAATATATTTTTCTTGATTGAACTATATAAAATGGCTTCAAATAAGCAATTATTCAAGCAGTTATATTTTTCCTTAATTAACGCAATATAATCTCATTTCAAGATTTCCATGTTAAAGTAAATATATTTTCAAAACAAGAATGTGTGCAACACAACATCCATGCGTGAATGTCAAAATTTATCTGTCTTTGCTCTTTTTCAAATTCCACGCACTCGTGGAACTGATTGCGAGGCCCGAAAAGGGAGAACAGGCAGATAATAATGATAAATTTTACACTCAATTCCGAGAAAACTTCTCTGCTTATAATACGTTAAATAAAAATAATCTCCTGACTGAAAATTAATTATTCATTACATATACATATCTTTCGAGATAACGTTAACTTACATATTTCCATTTTTATGAAGAACTATTATTTATATTTTAACGAAAGAAGGATGTATAAATCAGTTTGAAGTGTACTAAGTAAGTCTTTAAAAATAATAAAAGTGTTTTTTGAATTATTTGTTCGCGATCTCGTGATTCTTGTAACATCTGTCGTAACATTAATTATAATATAATGATAATTTTTTTATATAAAATATAATTCTACTTTGCAAAAGTAGTGACTTTTACTTAAATACAATACATGAGAGATGAAACACAAAATAAAAAATACACTATGTGCGAGGCAGTTGTCAATTGTCAACGAACATAATAAATTGTCAGATGGCATAATATTTCTCAGTTCTCTATTTCAACTTTGCCGTCATCTGTTTACATACGTTTGTGCGCGCGCGCAAGTGATATCGTTGTGAATGAAGACAAAAGCGGAGAAACCGAGTTCATCAATAATCGACAGAATCAAATAAATCGAGCAGTCTATTTCCTTAGCGAATCGTTCAATATAATACTTTTAATCTTTCTTTCATTCAGAGAATTTATTATAAATTTTATTTAAATCTTAATAAATTTACTATATAAATTTATTATAAACTTCGTTTAAATATATTCTGAAATATTTATTTTAAAATATTTTACGTAAAATAAATTTTGTTTAGAATTAAAAACGAATCTAAAGTCGCAGATATCAAAGTTTTAGGGAAAAGAAAAATTGGCAATACATATATGAATTACATAAAACTGTTTCTCGAACAGATCTACTTGGAGCATAACAATCGATATACAATGCACACTTTGCCTACTTATAATGCTAACTAAAGCAACGCGATACAGTACAACATTTAAAAGTAAAAGATACGTCCAATCATTATGGTCATCTATAACTTTGAAATATTTTGCATCGTGAAACATTTAGCTACCTGAATTATCTTAATGCAACTAAGTTATTTGAAGACTCGACGAGTTATCGGAATAGATAAAATTCTTGGTTTGCTCAGTTGCTCTCTCTTTCTCTTCGAATATCTCCCATGAAATAGAAATGGAGGCTTAACGAGATGTTTTTACGATCGTTGTTCGTATCGTCGGCTTTTTATTCGCGCGAACGAGGCCGTCATCATCGTCACCATGTCCTCATCAATCGCAATTTGACACAGTATGACAAATCAATGATCCGAGGAAAAATAATACTCTCATTTTGCACAAGAAATCCTTATTTAGTCTCGACTTTTGAGTAAACAACCATCTAAAATTAAAAAAACAACCATTAAAATTAAAGTTTTTTTAAGTTAGATCAATGTGCAATTTAATTATTTAGCAAGAAAAACTATAAAGATATTTATTTACTATTCAGACTTCAAAATAATGATGTATTCTCTTTAAAAAAATTCAACTCGATTAATTTAATTAATTAAAAATCGAAGAAAATACGATACGAGTGCAGCGATCAACGCGTATCCCGAGAACATCGCGATGAGCACTTGCCCTTATTGTTGGATCAATTCTCGCTCGCGCGGTGCGTGAGCCGAACGCGGAAAGAGAAACGCACTTCCGCGTGCGACGCGTACGACGCGTCGTGCACGCACAAAGAACGCGTAGCAAGAAACGCTGCATCCTCCGTGCATCATCTCCGTATATGTGTGTGTTGTCTGAACGTACCGCAAGCAATGGGAAAAGAAATTGGGTCGTCCGACCGGTCTTTCGCGCGAGTGATGACGTTTCACCGAGCACGTTTTGCTGGCCGCGAAAAAAATTTTTTTTTGCGCGCTTCCTTAAAATTGTCTAAAATAATCTATGCAAATCTCGACTATTTTTTTTTTTCAATTCGGCCAAGTAACACTTGAAACAGGTTTCATCATCCAAAATTATATTTAAAATTTATATAATAAATAAAATTATATTTCACAAAATTTATATAAAATTATTTATATAAATTTATATATAATTTATAATTAATCTATATAATTAATATAATTTATAATTAATTTATATAAATTATTTAAAATGTATATAATAAATAAAATTATATTTAAAATTACATTTCACAAAAATTGCCTCCTATTAATCCCTTAATGATATTATGATATTATGTAAAAATATTCCGGCAAGGATGTTAATTAATTAATAAATTAATATTCTTGGATAAAAATATAGAATTCGAGGGAAATGAAAATTCTCGTCAAATGACACTTGCAGATTCGTTCGATGACGTTTGAAATTTGTTTAACAAACGAGATCCCCCTCGGGGAGACTCCTCGCGGATTATCGTTATTTATCGCTTCTCACGGCTCGCACGCGGCAAACATACGCGCGTCGCCACGACGACAACAAAGCCGACGACGACGACGAGGACGAGGACCAAAGATGATTCATACCGTCCGCTCGACCAATGACACTTGTCTAACCTTTAATTCGGCTGCCTCTGGCGATCGGCGTGTCAAAATGCCGAGATGCTGCGCGGCTGACGCGACGCAAAACGACGCGACACGACGACCTCGCGGCCACCTCGCTCGCGAGGCGGATCTGCCCGAATCAAAACAAAGGGGAGAGAGAGAGAGAGAGAAAGAGAAGCGCGCCTCGCGAGGACGAAGACAGACTTACTCTATGTATGCGCGACGATTCTCGGAGTCCCGATGTCGACGTCTTCCACGTACGCGACGCTCCCGCGTCTTTCGCCACCGTTTACCATCCACCACCTCCTCCTCCTCCTCCTCCTCCTCCACCTCCTCCCCCTTCCTCTTCTCGCGCTCGCCGCTGCTGCTGCTCGAGGCGTGCCCGCCGCTTTCACTTGCGACGCGATGCCGCCGGACGCGCGATCTCCGCGGCGCGGAGCCGCCAAAAACGATCACCAAGTGTCAAGGTTGCCATTGTACCACACGTACGGGTTGCGCGCGCGCGCGCGCGCGCACACAGTCTCGCTGCCCGCGTCACCTCCTCACTTCCCTCCCCCACTCTTCCGCTCTCCCCGGCCTATGCCCGCCCGCTCGTTCCCCCCGCCGCGTCCTCCCCTCCCCCCCACCACGTCCCTCTTCCGGTTAACACCGCCGCCGCGGTACCGCTATCACAACAATGGCATTATCGCGATACCCGCAGCTTGTTACACGATGACACTTGGCCGCGATGGAGTCGATCGGATACACTCGCAAACGAGAGAAACGGGCCTCGACGTCCGGCCCGACGCACCGTCGTACAGCCGCGGCTTTTTCAGCTCTGAATTTCGCCGAGGCGCATTCGGCGTTTCGACGAGCGTTTTCGCGAGGGAGTCCCCTACTACTTGTTCGATTCGCGCAGCCGCGCGCGCGCGCGCTCCCGTCAGGGCCGAAACAAGCGGGCGCCGAGGGAGTCTTGTTTACAAACAAAACGCCCGGCCGCTTCGATCGGAAACGCGGCGGACGGAAGCCCGGCGAAGCCCGCGCGTTTCGCCAACTGGTGTCCTTGTCAGATCGCACATCCCGGGAGAGATCGACGAGGTTCTTCGCCGATCGTCTTTTTTTCGTCGTTAAATTTAAAGGGAAATATACGCGAGACGCTAACTTCCGATTAATATATTTTTCTCACCCGTATTTTATGCTAATGGATCTTGTAATTTACTGTCAGATTTCAAACACTGCTTTTTTGTAAAATAAAGAGGTATATATTTTTACTTGATAGCATTCTTTGCTAGGTTATGCTTCATTTTGAAAATTTCTGATTATCTTATTTAATTCGTAAATATTTTATTAATATTATACTGACCGCGTCTGATTTACACTTTTACATATCACTTTATTTATGACGGAAAAATTTACGTAAAATCAACTCGAGCAATTTTCTTATTAGCTTGCATACATAAATTAAATTGATATTTATAACCATAAAGCGAGAAAAAAATGTTTTGCCTTAAAATTTACACTATTACTCACATGCTAATTTATTAATAATAATAAATACCTGTAATAATAAATACCTGTTGTTTTTTTTTTCATTTTCAATTCAAGAGGGATCTTATATTCAAAGTACCCAAAACCTGAGCTTCTTCAACTTACAACTATGCCTGAATGATGTCATAATCAAACAACCAATAGGATTCTGCGATGAATCAACCATGCAAACACCTGACAACACATTTCACGGCGTCCCCCCAACCTACCTTTCCTTTCTTGACCTAACCTCTTTTCTTTCTATAAAAAAAGAAAATTAATTAAAATTATACTATAAATATTCATTACGATTATTCATAATAATTCGAACATTAAACATTACGACAACAAAATACAAACATATTTCATTTTTTTATTCAATTCAGCTAAATTGATAAAACAGGCAGTTGATGCTGCATATCGATTATCATGAAGAGCCAATAAAGCGCTTGTGCGTCGTAAACAAAAGTATCTGGTTGGTTTAGCGCTTTCCCGCCTTTTTTTACGATTTAAATTTCATATTCCATTACAACTTAACAATTCGCGAATAAGGCAATATATTATTTCTCTCTAAAAGACTATTTTCTTTTACAATTCTTAATCTGATACAATTAAATTTAATTTTAAATATGTACTTAAATATGTTAAATGTATACATAGCTGATAAAAATAAATTGTACTGTTTTGTTAAATTCTGCATTTTATTTAAGCAATAAATCCAGTAAACATGTATTGTATGTATACAAAATTTTCCAATACTCGTACATATACGTAATTTTAATAAATGTACATGATAAAATTTTTTATTCGTTTCTATTTAACATTTTTGTATATCGACATGTTTACTAATCTCTCATTGATGTATAAATACAGGATTATCGAACACTTAGAAAAACATTTGCGTATACATTGTCAAAAAACGTGTTACCTAAATCATAAATCGGAGAGGAATACGTATCTGTTAAAAAGATTGTATGTATTGTATGTAGATTAATATATAACATAATATATGCAATGTGCATTTTCTATGTAGAAAAAAAAACCCTCAAAGATGCGTAGAAATCCTATCCTTAATCTAACGCCATGCCTTCGTCGTCATCGTCCTTATCGGGACTAGTGGCTGATGGTGATTGCTTCTTACTCTTGTCGTCCTGTCCTTGTTGCGCTTGTTGTTGTCCCTGACCGCTCTTCGCTTCAGTCTCCAGAGCGCTGACGAATTCTTCGATGTTTCCACTGGCTGCGGCATTGACGGCGTCCGATCCCAAGCCGAATTGACGGATGACAGGGCCCGCCTGGCCCGACTGCAAAGCAGACCAGAACATTGATAGCGCCTGGGAGAACTGGGGAGACGAGAGCGTGGTAGACAGGTTGTCCCCTGGTGGTAAGTGCACGTTCATGGCACTCTCCAGGCTCTCCGTCGTAGAGATCGCCGCAGGGATGGCGTTGGTCAGCTCTGTCGCTACGCCCCTCTGCCGGACAATAAGCTGCGCTGTAGCTGGACGAAAACAACAGATATACCCGGAGAAATTTCCCCAACTGCTCAGCAGAGCCAGAGTCTCCGACAACCAGGAAAAGTTCGGACGAATAATAGTATTGAATAATGAGAACAACACCATGCCTCTGTCTTTCGATTCTCTATGTTATTTTATCACAATATACGTCTCTTAATAACTGTTAAGTTTATTTACTAAATTGATATCATTAATTCTCTTGCTGGAGCGATTATTGCAGATGCTCTATTTTTACTTTTTCTTAATAAAAGTATTTTCTAGTAAATACAGTTTAATAGCATATAAAGCACGCATTGCTAGATATAATGTTATAGTGTGATATATAAGATGCTTAACAGTTTTTGAAAAAAGTATTATATATTGTATTGTGTAATGTGTTACATATGCAATTCTCTCATAGACTAAAACCTTACCAAATTTCATAGACAAAGAAAAGCAAATGCAACATTGTAGAACATGTTAGTTACAACATACTGATTACATGTAATGACTTATATGTAATGATATTATTCTCTATATAAACACACCAATTTTTTAGCTATAGCACACATTAAAATTCCAATTTAATATAGATGGCACATTAGTCAAGTGCAAAGTCTACCATTTTGTTGTAAATCTTTTTAGCTATAGTTTTGTTAATTTAGATGCATGACATAATAGCAATATGTTAATACAATTCGTTAATAACTTTTATAGTATAACTTTTTTAGTATAATATGTTATATGATTTCTAATTTTAATCCTACAAATAATCAACACATAAAATTCCTTCTTATTTTTATATCTATATATATATTTTATTTTTGTTCACTCAAAGAATAACTTTGTATACTTATAAGACAATGCTTAAGCGAATACTGAATGTTCCAACTAACTTCTGTTATCAAGAAAGATATTTTATATCACTGATAATGATAGCAGCTGTAAAAAATAAACAATTAGTAACATAATCTATCTCATTTTTTGAATTCTCAGTATCTTTTTGCTCTGTAAAGAATTTTTTAAATAGATTTTTTTTAAATAGATTTTCTCTTAATTTATGATTGTATATATGTATGATTTCACATTATTTTTTATCTTTGCACAATATTCTCTCTTTATAATCACATCTTATATTTTATTTTTATATAGACATACTTTTTGAAATTACTTTCTTACTATTCATCTAGTCTTATTCTTCTACATAATTAATAATAGGAATTAATAATAAGAATAATTTTGAAATAATCGATAATTTTCGATATTATTTTATCACATCATCTGATAAGAAATTAATAGATTGCATATTCAATTATATAAAATCAGTCACAGATTTAATAATATTTTAATACAAGAAATCTTTGATGTCTCTGACAAAACATTTCTAGAAATGTATTAAGAGTGTGTTTCTTGTATTTGTAATCTATCAAAGGATTTTAAAGTGGATTTAATCTTATCATTGTGTTTCAACAAAAGACATATTACTTGTATATGAATTAATTCCTGAAATTGATGTTATATAACAATAAATTGCGACAATATATTAATGTTATTAAGTAACTATAAATATTAGTAATATAAATTAATATAAAATGTTTTAATAAATATAAATAAATAAAAATATTTTAATATCAAATGTAAAATCATTTTAAACATAGACAAAATGCATAATATTATTGTTTAAAAAATGGATCAAATTTTTAACTTACTATTACACAATTTAAATATTTTCACTGAAAAAAAAAATTTTATATAACATTTAATATTGCAGTTTTTATTTAAGCACTTATTAAACAGAAAAAACCAATATGCATGTTTATAAAAATTTATATTGATTATATATTTGAATATATATATAAATGCTTAATAATGCAATTGTACTTCAGCCTTTGTATATTTTTAAAAAATAAGATCCCAGAATCATTGAATATTTTTTTGATTGCTACTTTTCAATTCAGAGAAACAACATTTCATTAATGATCATTATTTTTTTAATTTATAATATTCTATATCTTTATAAGTTACTATTTTATTATTTAGTAAATTGCACGTTCAAATTTTCACTGTTTCTTTTTTTTCCATCAAAGTAGAAAACATTTAAAATTACAAATTACATTTAAAATTACATTTAAAATTACAAACATTTAAAATTAATTAAAAAATGTTGTCTTCCATTTATTCCCCAAAGCTTAATTTATAGAAAGTTTATTATGCAAAAATTATAGATGTTTCTATATTTTTGTAAAATAAAAGCAAAACCAAAGAATCTATACAAAAACATTTTCCTCTGTATAAAGATATACTTATATAATACGCATTAAAAATTTATAACAAAGGCATTTTTTTTTAAATACTGTGTTTCCATTAGAACTGCTATCACTTAATTACTTCATGCTAATTCAAAATTTTAATCAAATTTAATCAAATTATTATGATGTTATTAGAAAACAAAATATTGCACTATAATCTGCATATCTAGTAATATTATTCAGTCCTGTTAGAAAATTTGATTATTTTCCAATTAGAATAAAAAATAGATTATACATATATTCGGATTCATTCATTAGATAGATATGAAAAAATATGACATTACCTGCGCAGCTGGTTCAGTTCGAGGTGGTGTCGGAATTTCTGATAGAAAGTTTTGCAAGTCACTAAGCTGTATTCTATTGTTTGAACCTGTTGCTGTTGTAGTTGGAGTGGACGGAGCTGGTGTTCTTGCTAATAATTTATTATTATTCAGATAATATAAATTATATCATCATAATATATGCTGCTATAATAACATCAAAATAAATTATCATCATAACATATGCTGCTATAATTGATTAAATAATTTGACTCACTTGAAGATTTAGAATCCGTATTAGGTCCAGGAGTTAACGAATGAGGTGGTCTAGAAACATTAGTAGTGGCCGGAGTAGATGAAGTCGTGGTGGAAGCTCTTGTACTTTGAACACTATGCGGTCTATTCATTGTACCTAATAAGCTACCTAGACCACCAATCTGACCCACACCGCCAAACAATTGTATGAGCTGTTGTTGTGACATGTTATTCAACAAATTCTGAAGATCTCCTTCTGCATTAGCACCACCGCTTCTCTGGGATCCAGGTGTCGGTGGATTATTAAGTACATCATTAATCTTTCTGCAGTGTTCTTCATCCTTATCTGTTTTAAGATCCTGTGAAAAGAAAATAAATATTTTCAACTCTATAATTTCTTTAATAATATACTAATATAAAATTATATTTTTACCTGCAGCCAAAAGAAGAACTTCTTACTCGATGACTTAAATCGTAGGAGATACACTCTACCAGTTTTACACTGAGGAACGTGTTTAAATTCGCAATCATCGGGAAAGATAATTAAATCCTGAAAAACATACTCATTTGTAGACATATATATATATATATATATATATATATATATATGATAAATTTAATACAAATCAATATATTGTAAAATATAATCAAGGGTGAAGAAATTTTTGAACTGTGAGACTAAACGAAAAAGTGTATGGCAAATTGGCCAAAACTTTTTTGGAGATCCTATAAAGAACATGAATTATCATCGTACATCTTCGACCACTCCGGTGGTGCGATCCTTCCAGCAGAAATGCATCAACGAGTCATCGGACTGATAGACGTAAAGCTGACCCTTTCGCGTGTCCGGATAAACCATTTTTCCTTTGACAGTCATCTTGCCAGCCTTGAACTCGACTAGATTTTTCGAGGCGCCACGCGATGCATTATTACCGAAAAGTGCTCCGCTGGACATCTTTGCTGAGATATATGGATATATATAAAAAATTACTTTCTGATACGAACAGGATCAAACGATTCACCACCTCACTCACGAGACACGCCGATGACACTGCACTTCAAGATGGCGATGCGAAAAGCAGACCTCATGGACAGAGTTGCCAACAGCTAGGAAAAAAAAATCTAGACAGTATTAAAAAAAAAAACTAGATAATAGCAGAGAGAAGCCTGAAAGCATAGCCTTAAGCGGCCTTTTCATTGACACTAAAGGCCGCAGCACACACTTTTGCATAAGCGCATAACCAGAAGCATAAGGAAATTGATTGGTCCCCAAGTATATGCATAAAAAAATGAACCAATCAATTTTTTTATGCTTATGGTTGTGCGCTTATGCAAAAGTGTGTGCTGCGGCCTTAAAAAGTAGCGTCAACCATTGGTTGAACAAAGAAGTAAGTAGTTGCTTCATTGTTTAACCAATGGTTGACGCTACTTTTAGCGTCAATGAAAAGGCCGCTTAAAGATGCGGCCTCATTAACGCTAAAAAGTAGCGTCAACCATTGGTTGAACAATGAAGCAACTATACTTACCTCCTTGTTCAACCAATGATTGACGCTACTTTTTAGCGTCAATGAGGCCGCACCTTAAAGGTGCAATTTCATTGACGCTAAAAAGTAGCGTCAACCATTAGTTGAACAATGAAGCAACTACTTACTTCTTTGTTCAATCAATGGTTGACACTACTTTTTAGCGTCAATGAAAAGGCCGCTTAAAGGTGCGGCCTCATTGACGCTAAAAAGTAGCGTCAACCATTGGTTGAACAAAGAGGTAAGTATAGTTGCTTCATTGTTCAACCAATGGTTGACGCTATTTTTTAGCGTCAATGAGGCCGCATCTTAAGGTGCAATTTCATTGACGCTAAAAAGTAGCGTCAACAATTGGTTGAACAAAGAAGCAACTACTTACTTCTTTGTTCAACCAATAGTTGACGCTACTTTTTAGCGTCAATGAGGCCGCATCTTAAAGGTGCAATTTCATTGACGCTAAAATGTAGCGTCAACCATTGGTTGAACAAAGAAGTAAGTATAGTTGCTTCATTGTTCAACCAATGGTTGACGCTACTTTTTAGCGTCAATGAAATTGCACCTTAAAGGTACAATTTCATTAACGCTAAAAAGTAGCGTCAACCATTGGTTGAACAAAGAAGTAAGTAGTTGCTTCTTTGGCCGGTATTCATAGGTCGGTATTCATAGTCCGATCTTATATTTGAGATCGTCTTAAGTTCGAGCTTGAAATCCTACGCAGCTATTTGATTGGTTGAATGAGGTCTTAAGTCAACCTCCAAGCAGACTTAAGACGATCTTAAATATAAGATCGGACTATGAATACCGGTCATAGGCTGGTATTCATAGTCCGATCTTATATTTAAGATCGTCTTAAGTCTGCTTCGAGGTTGACTTAAGACTTCATTCAACCAATCAAATAGCTGCGTAGCATTTCAAGCTCGAACTTAAGACGATCTCAAATATAAGATCCGACTATGAATACCGGCCATAGTCCGATCTTATATTTAAGATCGTCCTCATTCAACCAATCAAATAGCTACAAGGCAGCCATTGATTGGTGGAATGAGTTCTTAAGATGATCTTAAATGTAAGACCGGACTATGAATGCCGGCCATAGGCCGGTATTCATAGTCCGATCTTATATTTAAGATCGTCTTAAGTCTGCTTGGAGGTTGACTTAAGACATCATTCAACCAATCAAATAGCTGCATAGCATTTCAAGCTCGAACTTAAGACGATCTCAAATATAAGATCGGACTATGAATACCGGCCATAGAGGCGCTTCAAATACGGGTTCCATCTGAATAGGGAGCATGGCTCTCATGCTTCTCTCTGGCTATAAACGCTGATGGACGCGTATTTGTATGAAACCACATAATGCCGTGCGCATATGCACGTGTTAATTTTATTTATTAATCGCGTTCCTTTAAACATTGCATTACACAAGACACAAATATTAGCAGTGCTTTTGACAAGTCATAGATGGTTTATTATGATTGTATATTTATTGTATGTCATTTAAAATATATGTATTGCCGGCTCTTCCATCTCTTGTAAGGTTATTTGATGTAACGTGCAAAGAAAAGAGAGATAATTGGAATCACGTTTATCACATAAATCAGTTGTATTTTAGAGAAGCAAATATATATTTAATTATATATTGCAATGACAAGTCAACGATCGGTCTCTTGTGGATTGGATTTCTCCTGTGCTGCAAATCTAAACGAATGTCTAGTTTACGCACATGACTCAAAGTAAGTCATCACAAATTTTATGTTTTATTTATATATATTTATCCAATTTATATATATTTATATATATATAATTTATATATATTTATATATATTTATCCAATTTTCAATATACCTATTTAATTCTATATTTATATTTTGCTCCTTGCTTTCAGATATGATTTTATATGCGTTCCTTTGGTTCATCCTTTATTCAAGAGAGAATTTATTTCTGGCGCTGCCACAAATCGTCTAGGACCATTTACCAGACCTGATTTAATCTTATCTAGTTCAGGTATAAATTTTATATATATAATCCTATATCTTTATATATTAATTATATATTAATATATTACCAATGCTTAAAATATGAATAAATCAATGATTATTTACACATTTATAATTTTATTTTATAGATTGGAATAATTTAATAATTGCTAAATTTTCACCATTTATCAATGTGGATTCGACTAATCCAATTATTAGGAGAAATAGCGAAGAAACTTTAAATCAAGAATTATCCTTAGCTAGCCATTTTGGTTTATCAGGAGTAACTTTGCAGTTAAAACATGGGATAAATAAGAATGTGAATCTTGCCAGAATTATTTCTGATAAAATATCCAATAATAACAGTAATTTTCAGGTAACAATATTTATTGTTAATTTTTATTGTCAAAAATTATTTAATTACTTAATAATAATATATTTTTAGAAATGAATACTTTAATAATATGTGTTTAATGTTATATGAATTAAAAATATAAGAAAATATGCTTGCCAAATATAGAGAATTCTGATTCTTCTCTTTATAAGTTATAAAATAAGGGTGGTGGGATCATTTAAAATCACTAAAATATTCTAATATAATTGTCATAGGTTTGGGTACAAGTTCCTATGGAAAATCCAATTAGACAAACTTATTCTTATCGAACAGAGGATTGTCTAGTGGATGAGAATCCATGGGAATGGTGGAATGCATTTAGAACAATATGTGACTACAATAAAAGATTAGGAATTGCGTTAATTGTTAGTCATGATGTACCTGAAATGGAAGAGGTAATTTAAATAAATTTTTAAAAAATTAAAATTATCTAATGTAAATATTAAAATGCACATTGTATTAATAAAATTTATTTAAATTTAAATATCAGATAGATAAATGGCTTGGAGAACCAGTGAGATGCTTGATTTTACCGACAACGATATTTCTAACAAATAAAAAAGGGTATCCAGTATTAAGTAAAGCACATCAAGCAATAGTGAAAAAATTTGTTGCATTAGAAGTACAATTCATTTTGACGGGCGCAACGCGTTATCAAAGTATTAGCTATTACCACAACTATCTTGACTATTTATGGAAGGTAAAACTAAGCAAACAATTAAATCGGAAGATTAATAGTTTGTAAAACATAGGAAATAACATGTTTTTATTCCTTTAGGGATGCCAGAATGATGGAACAATAGAAAAATTCGCTCGAGGATATGAAGATTATTTGCAATGTCCGCTACAACCTCTAATGGATAATCTCGAATCACAAACTTATGAAATATTTGAAAAGGATCCTGTAAAATATCGAGAATATCAGAGTGCTACGTATGAAGCTATTAAAGCATTTATATCCAAAAAAGAAAAAAGAAAAATGTAAGTTAGATAATGTACCAATGTAATATCTGAGATATAATGATTGGAAATTTTTAGAATTATTATGGTAGTTGGTGCTGGAAGAGGACCTCTTGTAACTGCATCTATAAATGCTGCGGAAATGGCCAATCAAGAAGTGAAAATTTATGCCGTAGAAAAAAATCCCAATGCTGTGATAACGTGAGAATTTATTAAGATAAATACTTTATGTCTATATAGATATGTACATAAATATAGGCTGTTTCACTGTTTATATTTATAGATTACAGGCTCTTCAGAGAGATATATGGAAAGATAAAGTTACAGTAGTATCATGCGACATGAGAGACTGGAATCCTCCAGAAAAAGCTGATATTATCGTTTCTGAATTACTCGGATCCTTTGGCGATAATGAACTATCCCCAGAATGTTTGGATAATGTCATGAAATTCTTACAAGGTTTGTGGTATTGCAGACTATTATAAATTATATAAATTAAGTTAACTTAAATTATACAATTTATGTAAATAGTACAAGTATCATATAAATTAAACGCGTATAATATACAAATTTTAAATTGTTCTTTTGTTTATAAATTTGTTAGATGATGGAATCAACATACCACAATCGTACACTTCATATATTGCTCCCATACATTCTTCTAAACTATACAATGAAGTAAGACAACTTAGAGACAAAGATAAACATCCATTAGCTCATTTTGAAACTCCATATGTAGTACATTTTCAAAATAAATACGACATAGCAAATCCAAAACCGCTTTTTACATTTAAACATCCAAATACAGGTTTGTATAAATATAAAGCATCTATCTCACAATTTTATTATTTTTTTATTAATTAATTTTTTTATTTGTAATTTAGATAGTGTTACTGATAATTCGAGGTATGAAACAAAAACTTTTCAAGTGGAACAGAACTGCGTGTTACATGGATTTTCAGGATACTTTACAGCAATTCTATTTGAAAATATCACATTGAGCATAGAACCTAGCACATATAGTACAGATATGTTTAGTTGGTTCCCAATTTTCTTTCCAATCAAGGTATATATAAGTTATGTAATATATAAATTCTCATAAATAATTCTGTGAAAATAAAAATATTTATTAATGCAGGAACCAATACAATTGAAGGCAGGAGACGAAATAGTGGTTCATTTTTGGCGCAGATGTGATTCTAAAAAGGTGTGGTATGAGTGGTGTCTTAGCAAGCCTATTCCAATTTCAATTCACAATTCAACTGGTCGTTCCTCCACTATTGGATTATAATGTAATAATTTTTTTATTTGCTTAAGAATTTCTCGTCAACATGCGCTGACATAGTTAAGTTTATTAAATCTCGATTGTGTAACTACATTTTTGTAGAATTGAACAATTTATACAATAATTGTACAATTAAGTATTTCCATCAAATCTAGACAACATTATACATGTCGATATTTTTTGTATTAGTTTAATTTATGACTAGTAAGATTGTCTATTATTTTATTAATATCATGACAAGAATGCAGTTTGATGATAGCATTAGATATAAAATTAATATGAATATTTCTATTTATGTGTGGCTGGTATAGAGAAATTTTGAAAGATTTATTACAAAATATGTGTATTCAAAACTTGTACTTTATATGTACTCAACATAAAATTTTTCCATCACTTAGTATAGATTCAAGTCAAGTGTAATCATTGATACTATTGATAAGATTACAAGAATATATATAAATATGGGCATGAGTTATGTAATCGATGCATGAAAGAGATACATGGATGCTATTTCACTGCAGATATTTTTTTCATATATTGATAAGTTTATATGACACTGATCTCAGAGGTCACTGATATGCTAAAACTTTGATAACTTGTGAGATGAAATATTCTCAAAGCGTGACTATCTTATTAAACTCACGTGATGTACAGTTTAAATATCGTTATGTAAATTCCATACAAGTACATTGTAAGTAGTACCATCAAATCTTATATTCATATATGACGATGAATTTAAATGTACATGTGTACATTTAATATTTGTAATAAATTTCTACTTTCCTGACATACAAACAAATTCATCTTTTCTATAAATCTTTTAATCAAAAGAAGAAAAATTATTATAATCTTGATTGGGCTATGTGTATGAAAAAAAAAAAGAGAGAAAATATGGATCATTAGATCTAAAGATGTAATCATTTTCACTAATCAGTTGATAAAATCGTGTACAAATTTGGGCAGAAAATATCTAATCTCAAAATATAGACCCTTTTCATACATCTTATTACAAAAATTACAACTATTGACAATTTATATAAACAAACTTAAGAATCTGGTGAATAACGTTCAAATGCAAACATCTAATTGCTGACTGTGATAATCGAAATGTAAAACTAGTTCAATAGCTCAAAGGTTGGAGATCACTTGCTGACTTGGAATATACTCTGATTATTCAGACAGGTCAATATTAATACAAATGGTTATTTCAAAAGTCACCTCCATCAGGCTAAAAGAAATTAAAAATGTAGCTGAATTATTTACATATTATTGTACAGGTCGTGTGTTTACCAGTTTCTTTTAGCTTGTTTATATACTTGTATGTATTTAATCGTTATTTTATACATATTTCCAAGACGAAAGATAAGAGAGGGGCCGATGACGACAGAAGTAGCCGAGCAGAGGATCGTCGAGTCTCGAGTCTGGATCTCTTTCACTACTCGACTCGATTCAGCCGGCGATCGTTCCGTTTTGCTCGCGGACAGGGTTGAAACAAAAGGGTTAGATCACGATCCCAATCGATACAAGGAGCTAGAAAAATGTCACGACTGATGGTGCAGATTGGCAGGTGCGCGACGAAAACGCTCGTCTCGCAGGCCAGGAACGATTTATTCGCGCAATCGAAAACATCCCTTGTCACATGGCGTTCCATAACCACTACTCGGTGCTTGAGATCTGGTAAGTGTGCGAATCCACGTGGCCGCGACTTTGACCTCTTCAAAGGGCGCGAAAAAAAATAATAATATGCCTGAAAAAAGAATAATATTACTAATTAGCATTAATTATTAATAAGTTGCGCGCTGTCAAAAAATCTGTAGCAATTTTTGTCCTTCGAGAGCCTCCCCAAGAGGCTTCTTTTTTCTTATATGCTATAAGGAATTAATGTGCAATTGCAAATTAAATTACAATAATGTGATAAACGTATCAGTAATTGTTATCTCGTAATTTTCTTAGATACTTTAATTAATAATTGCACATTATTTTAATAATACTTTAATTGATAATTAATTGTACATTATTTTAATAAATAAATGTTAGGGAATCGAAGCTACGATACATGATTTTATTTTTTTAGAGCGATGGTATACCGATAAACACGAATGGATAACAGTGGACGGCAATATGGGTACAGTTGGTATATCGGATTACGCACAGGACGCTCTAGGAGATGTGGTATACGCGCAACTTCCTGATGTAGGGTTCACGGTGAAGAAAGAAGGTAAGATACTTCTTATTTGACAATCAAATTTGGAGAAAAATGAGTGTCAATAAAAATTATAATAAAAGTATTAAACAAAGTATGCTCCAAATATTTTTACCATATTCTACCTCTAGAATATATATATATTATGTAATACATTTCATACTTACATTTTTAATCCTGTGAATTAAATATTTGAATACAATTTAGCTGAAACCTTGTATATATAACACATGCACAATATAAATTTAAATTTGTGAAATCTCTATCTTCTCACTTAGAAAAATCAATACTGATATTTCAGAGGAATGCGGAGCTCTAGAATCGGTGAAGGCAGCTTCGGAACTAATAAGTCCAGTCAGTGGAAAAGTTACAGAGAAAAACGAGGCAGTTGAAAATAAACCCAGCTTAATTAATACATCTTGTTATAAGGAAGGTTGGCTATTTAAAGTAGAGTTAAACAACTTAGATGAAATCAAGAGTTTGATGAACGAAGAGACTTACAATAAGTTTTTAAAGTCAAACCATTAAATACATAAGTTAAAAAAATTTCCTTTAATATAATTAGTAATTTGATATTGATTTCAATTTAAGTTAATGAATTTTTAAATGTGTATGGAAACTGCCTCGTTTTATGCTATGTTTGAAAAAAACATTTAAGATTGTAGTGAATTTTGTTTAAAGAATGCTAATTCTTTCTCGAGTAGAGTTAAATATGAAAAATACTTCTCAAAAATGATAAAATATCTTATCATTGTAAAATATATTTAAAAATTTATCAAAGACCATAAAAATCTAAAATATACAGTGTTATTTAATATTTTAGATTATTTTTATGCGTATTTTTTTAAATATATTGTACAAATAATGATAAGATATTTCATAATTTTTGAAAAGTATTTTTCATATTTAACTACTCACACACATACATATGTATACACAACATATATACCAACTATATAAATATATAAATATATATCTCATTTATACTTCATTATAAATATAGATTTCTCATTATGTTTTGTGAAATGTTATAAGTTTTATTGCATCTCAATCATTGAAAGCAGTTCACATTAATCATTTTATTCAACAATTTTTAAAGTAGCGAAAATGAATGTTAATTTATGAAAAATTTAGTACATTAAGCAATAGCGAGTTTGATGTTTTCTTAGTACATGTATGATTTCAATTGTATATTATAGTGATATGTTATTAATTATTACATCATTGTTACTACAAAATGAAAATATATTATATATTAATTACAGAATATAGCTCCACATGAAGATTTTGATATATAAAGCTTTTTTTTTCTTTAGCAAGTGAAAAATTGATATTGATTGCGATATTAGTTGCAATATCTTTATTAGTCACTGTGCAATGTTCTTTGTATTTATACAAAGCAAACAAATATTATGATATACAAGTTGTTCAATACATGAATAATAGCATTCAAGTTACGAATTATGATAGTATTTCTTGTTTCTTTCTTTTTTTCAAATGCACAAGGACATTGAAATTTTTGTAATAATTGTACATCCTAACAAGTGATTGAACAATCATAAAATACTATTTTCGAATCTTGCAAAATGGCATATTAACTGATATTATATACCATTTTCAATTCTCCTTCCAAATATGTCTTTAGCAATTTGGTAATCTGGTAACATTATTAAACGAGGGAAATAATGTCATTGTGGAGGTTCAACCAGTATAGCATATAAAAAATAGCACTGTTAGCTCTAGAAAGGAACAGTTATCTGTTAATAATAAAGATATATTTACAGTCAATTATAATTTTTCTACATAATTTACAATTGCCAACTGCTAATGGCAGTGTTATAACAACGCATAATAGTTTTTTTTTTTCCTTTAAACTTTATTCCAATGCTTTATTGGATCAAAGAATCACATTGATATTAAATTAGATTATTTGCCAATCATAATTGGTAACTGTACATATTTAACATAAAAAAATATACATAACGCTGTAATTGTCGTATTTACTAATTACAATTGTTAATAAACATGTGACAGATCGAATTATTAATCGGGATGGACTTATATAGGGCGAGGCTTTTATAGAGCGTGGCATATTAATGTGTGAAAAAATATATCCATTTTACAAACAAACATTTGGAGCAAAACTTTCAGGATTTTGCAAAGAAATATGTAGCGGCTATAATACTTGCCATTTTTCAAGGAATAATGATCACTTTTTTTCAATATCGCACAAGTTTTAACATCATATAAACATTCATCTTTCTGTACTAATACAAACATGTTTGCTTCTGATACAATCTCGTTTTTTACTGTTTATGTGCTCTTCATAAACATACACGCTTATGTTATTACATATTTATAGATAATCAGATGCAAAACTTATATTAATATTTAAAAAATCACATTATTTAATTTTCCCAGATTTCAGCAAATTTCCTAGAAAAAGATAATGTTTTACTTAGTGAAAAAAATATTTTTCTCTAATTAAAAAAAAAGTTATATCTCTAGGGAGGAGATATTATACCATTAAATATCGCCTTCCAAAATCCTATGAACAATTTTTATTTGGAAAAAAATCTTTTTCTAAAATTAAACTTTGAAAACAATCAATATGTCACACTTTACACGCCTTAATCCTATATACCAATTATACATAGAGCTATATCTTCAAAATTTAGTTTTTTTTCTCATTAACATAGAAAGAGAAGAGGAGATGATTGCGATTAATACGATTTGTCCCAAAATTATCAGACCGACACGTTCAGCAGGAGGTCTCGGAAATGAAAAGACGATGTACAATAAATAAACGGTAGCGTGAACGGTAGCTTGTCTCACCCAAACAGCAATGTATGATTTAAAGCGATTTTTTTTTCAACTAAGACAGCAGTAACTTATACATGGTAAGTGACACAATTATGAACTAATTTGCAGAAAATACAATAATAATAACTAAGATCTAAAAATGTGGGCATGTACAACGGATACGATATTTTTAATAATTTGTATTACATATCGTAAGTTTCTTAATGTGTAATTGTACACACTATGCGGATTAAAAATATCTGTTTATGCGTATTACATTCACTCACTCCACTCAAATTGCTATCTGGGCGTCTATTCTGAGGTATGTGGTTACTAAAAATGTAAAAGTATAAAAACTTAATACAGATATGAAGAGGTAGTCATTCGTGTCGTGTGAGTTAAAAAATAAAAATCTTTTTTTTTCCTTTCTTTCTTTTGCAAAGAAGCACTTGAAGATGAGAAATAATAATGATAAGCCTAGACTGCGTCTCCGATTATATATGCAATGTGAAGAACCAGACGATTTGAAAATTTGGGAACATTAGCACTTTCTATATCGGCATATAAAGTCAAATTTGACGGCGGACACAAATCTTTACTCGCGCGATAAGTACATGTACGATACCCTCGATAAAATATTTATTTCCGTGGTAATAGTACTCGTTACCGCTCTTCTCTTGATTTGATTTAACACTCGATTCTTAATCTAAGTGACGAAGTCGAGTTTTGCGCTTGTCAACAAGTCATTTACAACTCTAGTTACATATATTACGAAAAATCGGTGGAAAAAGTGAAAGTAGTAAAATAGCATTTTTGCAGCAGGTACGTGTGTTTGATACGTGAATAAATACAAGAGGAGTCGCAACGGGCAACATTACCAATCTACCAGTGCGAGGAGAGATTTCTGTCTCTTTTGTCACATTCAAAACTTTATGTCTGACACAATATTATAATTTCCAATGGCTTTGATATTACCACAGGCGTCGGAAAGACAACCTTCACAGCACTGAAGAATTTCTGACTATCGGCTAAACAATAATAATAGTAATAATTAATAATAATTAATATAATATTTAATAATAATAATAATAATAATAATCTATTAGTGAAAAATTTCTACTTTCGCGATCGCTCACTATCTTAACATTTATCTAAATATTTCTCTATTTAACAACTGCGATACGCGCGCGCGCGCGCGCGCGAGATTAATGTTATCTTATATATTTAGAATTAATCGCTAGACAATATAGGACCACATAAACCTTGCTCCAATGATTCTTTTATTTCTTAAAACAGAATCTTTATTATGGTACAACATACAGTAATAAAATATCGCAATTTGTAGTTATTCCTTTCCGCCACCTATTTGAAAAGTAATAAAGAAGATACATGAATAAGATTCTAAAATTAGTGAAGACATTAAGTAGCTAATGATTTTTCCTCAAGAATAAGCAACGGAAATATATTTATTTCATTTCATTATTCAACTATACACAAAATATTGTAATTACATATTTAACATGATCCGTACTTTACAACATAATTGGAATGTGTTAACTAGTATTTACAATATAGTAGCCCTGCTGTGTGCAAGTGTGACAAAATGCAGATTTTCTTTTTTTTAATAGGAAATTCTAAGGATGCCCAGGTGGCCGTGCGATAAACACATATGTATATCACATACAAGTTTCATTGTCATTCAAATATGCCCATTGAATCCCTTGCAGAAGCACGATTGATCTGGAGAAAGAGAGACTTGGATTCTCTTTAGCGGTAGTACGATATATATTTCGTTTGAGTGAGAGCAAGGCTTCAGTGGTGTGTGGTATGCTTAAAAATAAATTCGCTTCTAAGTATTAGAAAAATAGCTTTACTTATTTAGACAAAAGTTGCCTGCCCTTTGACCAATATTTTTTTTTGTTTAACCACCCTTTGTACTGTTTTCAAGGCATCTTGCTTACTGTTTCCCTGCTCTTGTACCCGCCAACAGGGGTAATTCTTCACGGATACATCTCTAAAACTTCAACATCAAATATAGAAAATATATGTTGTGTTTATATATTTAAATACACTTTATAATACATACTATGTGTATATATATATGTAAAGTAGTGTGTACGTCTATACTTGATTTGTATGCATAGGTATATTTTGAACCAGGGCCCCTTAACTTGGTCCGATACCTTAGCAGCATTTTAGCTCTTAATAGGTACTTTGAGGTCTATATCTCACGATTAGGGGCGCTAACAGGACTTTCGATATATATATATATATATATATATATATATATATATATATATATATATATATATATATCAGTGAATTATATATATTCGATGGCAAAAATTACCAAGAGAAACCGATCGTTTCATTTCCTCTTGGCGTGAAGCATCTCCATGAGAAGCGTTTGCGTCGGTGCACTTCCGTTGCAATGTTTCTGATAAAGATGCTCTTCTCCCCTGGTTGCCACTTCATGAATGTCCGGTAATACTGCTAGCAGCTTGTTAAACTTATCCTGCGCAGATCGAAAATAAGAACACAATTAAATATCTACTGTCTGCTAACCTACTTTAGGTGAATATATGAGGGAGTGTTTCGCAACGAAACGCACCGGTAGAGATGGGTAACAAGCTACCGTGTACTCCATAAGCGTCTGTTGAACCTGCTCGTGACCCTCTTGCACATGTTTTTTATTTACTAGTCCACGGACATCTGAATCAAATTAAATATATATGCAGAGAATAAGCAATGCGTGTTCTTATTAAAATTACATATAAGATGTATTTAAAAGTCGGATAAAAAAATTAATGAGATGTCGTATAACGTGTTTCAAATGATTGGTTACAGAAGGCTACAGGTTTCTATGATGATACTTTTACAAAAATCAGATTCAAAAGAGATATACAATGTGTGATAGTCTGCTTATTTTGGGATAAAATGTATGAATCTTATTACTTTAATTATCCATTGTTTCTCAAAACCCGTCATTTATGTGTTGAACGCGTTTGACTTTGATTTTACTTACCATGATTCAGCAGCATTAGAAATTTCATACATATATAATCGGAGGTGTCGAATTTTAGTTCCTGAAGTTTCTTGGATAGATCTTTGAAGAGATCAGCCAAGGTAGGAACTCCGAGTAGGCCGAGGCAAAGGAGATCAAACTTTTGGCCATTATGAAGTGTCATTTCGTCAGGTAGATTGTTGTGTAACCTTTGATGAAGGTGATCTAGCACCAACATATCCGACCAAGAGTGTTGCAGTAGCTTCATTTGATCGTCAACCTAATAAATGATATTTACTCATTATGCAAATGTCAGATATTTTATCAATTAATATCTTATAATATATATATAGAGGAAAAATATAATTTATATTCCGTTTTGAATCTCATATTTTGCATCAAAAATTTCACATGGCAATAACAACGTAGCACGATAAATATTTTGTAAATATTTTGTTTTCAGAAAACATGCTTGTTAAAGAAATTAAAATGCATGCATGCATAAACAAACAAAAATGTAATTTTAATTAAAATGTAATTTTTAATATAAATATAAATAAAATGTTAATTGCAACTTGTATATTTAAATTGTGCCATCAATATTTAATTTATTCACTCGAAAACACTTCTTTTTGCAATAAAGACATATAACACAAAAATATGTTCATATATATGTACATGACAATTTATATATTTACAGCATGTTTTGAGAAATTTATTTACACGATTTTAATAAAATTATAATACCAAGATTCGGTAGCAGCGTACCATATTGTCGCTGAAAAGTTGAAATAAAACCGTCTCCTTTTACTTTCTAACATTATTAACAAACATGCTATGTTGAATTAAAAAGAAAATGTAGTTACAAAGCCTGTAGTGAAAAAGTATTTATAATTAACGCGGTCCTGCTGCTTTGGGGCAACCGCCATAACCCAGAAACGTATCTTGTTATGACCTAGATATGAGGCGATGCTTGAAATCATTCAGTAGTGATTGTGCAATGCCGTTGGTTACCTCACATCCCCGCTCATGGTACGAGCAGGCCAGGCAACCGAGTTATTTATCGGTAAGAACAAAACTTCTCTCGACGAAGAAGATTCTCTCGACACAACTATTGCAAATACGATTTTTAATGCGCGCAAGACAAGAGTAAAACCACGTCGTATTACGTCGACTTGTTCTCCCCTCATCCTCCTCTTTCTAAATATTAAATTAAAATATTGCGAAGAAAGAAACGATAATTTTCGATAGGAAAATTAAAAAAATAAATAAAAATAATAAAAAATAATAAGTAAAAAAAAGCATCGAATGACACGCAGCTTCTGTCAGTCCCGATGCCTACCTTGAGATCCTTGAAGAACGTCGAATTTCTAGCCCAATCCACTTGCGAGAACAGATTCTGATCGAGCACTTTGCACATTAATTCGAACAAGTCCACTTCACACTGATTGTACGTTTGGCTTTGTAAGAGTCCGAAGAGAGACGTCTGCCACTCGCGGTCGTCGATCGATGACAGGAAGTCCCTTATCATCGGATTAACCGTTTTCAGAGCGGTGGCAGGATTAGGCGCGTAACCCGCCACCCCGCCGCCGTGGGGCTGCGCCGACTGTTCACCAAAGTTGAAGACCTTCGTCCCGGAGGTGGTGGAGTTGGCGGTCCAGAGCTTGCTGTCGAGCCCGGGATTGAGATTGTGCAGGTGATTGCCGCCGTTCCCGCCGCCCCCGCCCCCGCCACCTCCCCCGCCTCCCCCGCCGCCCCCGCTGCCGCTGGTGCCGATGTTCGGCTGGGTTGACGGCGCGATCAGCTGATGCTGGCCGGCGCCGCCGGCCTGCGTCGTGACCAGGCCGGCGGCCACGGTCGCGGGGGATGGGCTCGAGTCCGGCGACGAGGTCAGACTCGAGACCTGAGGTATTTGGATCTCCTGCTTGATGTGCAGCAATGGCGTAACCGCGGGCGGGTAGCTGGACGGGTCGCCAAGACTGCCGCGTATCGTCTGAATGGCCATTTGTCGTTGACGTATCAGCTGCAACTTGCGCGCCCGATCTCTCTTGTACATGGGCCCGAATTTATTCCTACCTCCCCGCATCCTGTCCGCCCGCACAGCTGGAACAACATCAAGAATTGACTGACTTTACTGACTTTTTAAATTTATTTTCCTAATTCCTTAATTCTGAATTAATTCGAAAGATGGGACAAGGACCTCTCTACATTTTATCTCGTGTCCGATATGCCTTGAAAATCGATTCGAATGAAAAAATTGGTTCGTTAGATGTCTATTCTATTCTTCTTTGTGATAATGCGAATGTTTTAATAAAAGGTTTAATCAAATATATTTATTTCTCTCGTAATCCTTTGCTTTTGTTTACAATCTTCAGAGAGGCAATAAGGCACTTGGAAAATATTTAATAATCTGGACTTGTATAAATGTCGAGAATTTCACATCATTCTTTTGAAAGATCATCCTAGGCTTTAAATCTACGAGCTCCGCGAGATAGATCGAGACGAATCGTTGGTGAAAAACGCGCGTTCGCCGATCGGGGAATCGGAGGAAATCTCGCGGGCGTGAATGAAACAACCTTGACGGTCTTCTGAGTCGGACGTCGACGAAAGCGGAAGTCACGGTTAATCGCTAGATAAGTGGGACAAAGCGTGAGAGTGCGGGTACCGCCTGCTATTTCTGTTATATACGCGTGCGCTATGCAAAATTGTGACAGTATTCGACATACGCGTTTCCTACGCACACGGTATCCTATCGCATCTAAAGCCGCGACTCTACGCATCGGCTTCTTCAAACTGATGGCCGATAACTGCCATCTGCCATCCGCGAGATTGATCGACGTTCGTCGAGCTGTTTGCAAAAATTTTACATACCAATGTTCAGAAATAATACTCAGGTTTAAAATATACGTAAACTACTTTGCATTATGAATTCTCGGTCGTATTTAAGGATGTTTTGTACCTATTTTCAAAATAAGGATTTAATGAAAATTGTACAGAATGTTGTACCTTACATATGTTTAGAAAAAACTTCTTCAGTACAATTTTTAAATCGATTCACTAAAGCGTTCACAAGTTGTAAGGATTTTAATTTGCACCGAATTAACATGTGATCTTATGGGAAACGTATAACCACGTCGATTCAAATGACAAAAACACATGGAAATAATATTCAGAATTTGTTGAAAATTGCAAAAGTTTAGAGACAGAGGAAATATTTGGTCAAATAATATTATACAAGTACTAACTGATTAAAAAGATTAAATATAATTCAATGAAATTAGCCATGTATCTGTCACAAGGCGAAATTCTCTGCCAAAAGTTAATCATTTCGATTAAGGATGTTTTGTTCCTATTTTTAAAATATTGAGAATTTAATGAAAATTGTACAGAATGTCCTTACATATGTTTAGAATCTTCAGTACAATTTTTAAATCGATTCACTAAAGCGTTCACAGGTTGTAAGGATTTTAAATTGCACCGAATTAACATGTGTTCTTATGCGAAACGTATAACCACGTCGATTCAAATGACAAAAACACATGGAAATAATATTCAGAATATGTTTAAAATTTGCAAAAGTTTAGATACAGAGGAAATATTTGGTCAAATAATATTAATACAAGTACTAACTGGTTAAAAGACTGGTTAAATATAATTCAATGAAGTTAGCCATGTATCTGTCACAAGGCGAAATTCTCTACCATTTCAATTAAAAATTCGGAATATTTCAATAAAAACGCAATAAATATTAAAAAATACATCCACACAATTTCTTACTCAAAATACACCAAAACTGGATATATTTATCAATATTGATTTTCAGCTATTTTGCTGGGATTGTACATACAAAACATTCTTCTTAAGTCTCGACATTTCTAACGAACACATCAATTGCTTGAGATTTTTAATAAATAAACGTTACACATCATAGCCGGTTCAAGATTTTATATCTTAATGAGATTTTAATATAAAAGTTAATTAGATTTATCTGAAGAATTAAAAAAAGTTTCACATTATTTAAAAAATTTCTACATTGGTAACTTTTTTAATGAAGCGAGATATCAAAAGTAATGTACGATACTAAAAATATATTTCTATCTTAAAAATAGATTTAAATAATTTTAAAACTATTCAAATATATTTAAAAAAAAAATCGATTCAATGATAACAATGCGATATGTATAAATGTGCATTTGGAAATACGTCTAAATAATTGACTGATAAATATACTATTTCTAGTAATAATAGTAGTATTGCAGAAAAAATAGCCTTCTACTGCCAAGAAAAGCGATTACTCAGTTTACTCTTCTTTTCTTAAATAATAGTTTTCTTCAACAAAGATCATATTCTTGATAATGGTCTTAAAATATACTCATCACAAGTGTTGGAAAATCTCATTATCATGTACACAAAAGAAGAATTTATCTTCTCTTCAAGAATATTGTAAAGTTGCATCAAAGAAAAAATCAAACTTACTTTACATCAATTTTATACAATAAATAAACAAATCAAATTTTTGTCTTAATTTAATATTTAATATTCTTAACTAAAATACTGCACTTGTAATAAATACTAGAATTTAGAATATATTCAATTAAATTTAATGCTTGTGGGGGACTTACATTTGCGGATATACAAACTTGTGACAAACTTAAAAAATAAATCATATTTATTTTTAAATACAGCGTATATTTTTCTCTGGGTTATGAGTGTATTTTGAGTCTCAGACGATATTTGTTTTCGACGATAAATGGATTTTCGAGCACGTACGACTCCGGGGATATAATGTTTGCACGGTTTAATGCATATCCAGTGGGCCTGTCAATGAAGGATAGGCGTCACAATGGTCACTCGCGTAATCCATAATAATCGCCGATTAACGCTCACTAGCTCGCAGTCTTGTAAGAACATTTTACGCTTTTTACTCGCCGCGCGGGCGGTATTTCCTGCAACGAGTTAAACACGAAAGGAACACAGCCGGGAGCGTTTAAAACTATGGGGCAATTGGTTCCCAAGAGGTTTTCGCAAGGACCCGTTTGCAAATCGTTTTCTGCACGTTAACGTTGACGTTGGAGAAAAATCCTTTTTCACAGATGAACGACATGGAATTTTCGTTGGCTCACATTTCTAGATATTTCTTGTACAAACGAAACGAAAATTAAAATATAATTCTATTGAATTTCTCTTACATTGACATTTTAATAATATATTTAATATTTAAAAGCTAATAAAATGGTGTATTTTATTGTATTTTAATGGTGTATTTTGTGCCAAGATCAATTTAAGATGTGAAATATTGTGAATAAAATTTTGCAAATGCTATGGCAGAGAGTTGGCTTGTCGTAAATAAAATTAAAATTAAAATATAATTACATTAAATTTCTCTTACATTGACGTTCTGATAATGTTTAATATCCAAGAGCCAATAAAACGGTGAATCTTATTATAGCAAGATCAGTTTAAGATATGAAATGTTGTGCATGAAATTTTACAAATGTTGCAGACTTTTAGTTGTGTGTGTGTGTGTGTGTGTGTGTGTGTGTGTGTGTGTGTGTGTGTGTGTGTGTAAGTGAGTGAGTGAGTAGGATTACAAATATTATCTCTGATGATTAACCTTAATAATTACTAGTGGAGAAAATCCTAAAATAATCAGCCTTGTTTGAAAAGCAATTCTTATCTCCTTTTATGTCCACGACCAGTTAATGATTTCTTCAAATAGCACATCGACTGACTATTTTACTATCACGTTCATCCGAAGATTGTTGTAATTTTTAAAGTTGTTCCATCAGAAACGATTAAAAATCATTGTATCAAGCAAAAACTATTATTACATGTTATACAATCTTCAGTCTTGTTACAAAGATATTTTATTCCTGTTTTGCAAAGAGAAATTACTTACATTATTATTTAATTACTATCATTATTATATCTCAATGATACAACATTTCCTGTTTCCTTCTAGAAAACCATTCAATTATCACATCCTTCGATTTCCCGAAATTATTTGCATTATTTCGACGGATAAAAATTCACAAAATCTTTTTCCAC